TCCTTGCATGTCCTTTTGTGGAAAAAAGAATCAATTAAAACTGTAAAGCTCTTTAATTTTCAACTTTTATTTGAAGCCATTTGACAACATTGAATTATGACTAGTCAGAAGTCCGTCTGCAAAACAATAAAACCAAGCAAACAACTCGACCCTATAAATAGTTGAAAAACCAGGAAAAAAGAACCGAGTAAATGCTTTTATCGAAAGTGCCCGACTAGGCGATACCCTGTGTACATTCGATAGAAGAACAGGCGGGTCGATATGGTGTGTTTAAATGAGTCCGATATTTAAAATTTCTGGTCTCTGGCTTTCGGTTTTAGAGATTGTCCGACGCGCAATTCATCGAAAGGATCAAGCATATATATAATACTGCGATTTCCACTCTCTTATTTAATTTTCAATGGACGCAGGGTATAAAAAGTGGCAGGGAAGCAAAAAAAAAAGGCAAAGCGAGTGAAAGTTGAATTGATTTTAAAACCGTTTTCAGTTCTCTTTTAAACCGATTGAAGCACATAAGATAAAAAAAAAAGCTCTTACGGAGCACTTCGAATCCTTTTCTGTTTACAGACAACAAATATATATCAGTTAACTGTTATAATATGTGCATATGATCAGCATACACCGAAGCGCTTGCACAAGTGCAGGGTATAAAGAGCAGCTCTTCGTGCGCGTCCATCAACCGCAAAAACTTACCCATGCACAACAAGAGTGGAACAAGCGGGGAACAAGAGGGGGACTCGTCCACGTGCCAACGCGCGTGTGAATGTGTTCCCATTCGGAATGGATCCATGTCCGTTAGCTTCGTTCTTTACTTTGCTTGTGCTGCTGCTGCTCTTATTGTTTGTTGCTGTTTTCATTTTTATTGCCCGGCAGCCATAGTCGAAGTGAAACTGAATAGATGAAGTTGGGTTGGACGCTGCGTGTTTGCACTGTCCGCAACTAATTGGATTGACGTCGGCCATTCAAGAACGAACGGAGTTTTAATATTTGCTCACTCGCGTATATATATATGTATATTTATACATATGTCATGATTAATTGAAATGCGCACCAAATTAAAAGTCACAGTTATATTACAAATGGCAGCCATTTGCTCTGTCCGCCATTTTGCCAACACTAAGCAGCTGACGATCGTCCCAACGATATCAGTTTTAGCAGCAGCGATGAGCGCATGTCGAGCGACCGCCTATCGATATTATGGCAAAGGGTAAATAAACGTGATATCGATATGTTACTTTCGCAATGGTGCAATTGATGGCGCTGTTAATATGCAAAACATTTTGCCAACACTTGGCAGCTGACGATCGCCCCATTGATATCAGACATATCGATACTGTGGCTAAGTGTAAATAAATGTGAGTTCGATATGCAAAACCAATGTATGCTTTTTAAAATTTCATTTTGTTTTCTGTTTCAATAAATTCAAATACTACAACGTTGCTGACATTTTGTGGCTTTATTGGCACATAAATAAATAAACGACTGTCAAATTGCTGAGGTTGATAAATACTAGGATGTATCGAATGAGCAGCGGACATTTAAATGAAAATAAATTAAAGCGCATGCATCGGTCACACTGCACGCTTTCGATTCAAATGTCAAAGGTGTTTAATCCTGTAATTTTGCACGTGATCAGAAAGTACTTTGGCTAACGTGCTTGATTAACTTAGTTGGATCGCATGCTATGTTTATCCCTCTATTTATTTCAGTTATGATGCAGCAGAATATATTCAAAACTACACCAACCAGATTTTAATTAAGCTAAAGCTCAATGAGATTTAATGAAACTTAACTAAAGAAATTAATTATTACACATTCATGAATTCGCATCATTAAATAGCATCTCTGCCGCTCCAATGCATTTATTATTATGTGCCAATTGTGCAGGCGCTGAGAGTCATCACGTGACCGACCGTTACAGTCCTGGCTGTGTTCCCATTACCGTTAACGAGCAACATACGGACTGGCAGCCATCTTGGCCTGGTCCATGTCCACTTGTTGTGCGCAGAGTCTTCAAGTTGTGCTCCACTACCGTTTTAATATTTTGTTTATTTTCTGTTTTTTTTTTCTTCCTCTTCTTCGTCTCTTCTTTAAACAATTCTAGTGGGGGGAAAAAGAAAAAAATTAAAGAGAAATTGAATGCTCGGGGCGCTGGGAGTCGAGACGCTGCTTGCTGCGGACATGAAGCTTGTGACTTTGGCAAACGTATTGGCTACTGCGTTGGGTAACGGCATCTCGTGGCAAGTTTGTTGCGAAATGTGCAACAAACAACAACAACAAAAGCGACAACAACAAAAAATTGCAAAGCTTTCAAAGTTGCGCAGAGCAAACTCGTTTTGTGGGTGGGCAATGGGGGAACGCTCCGCTAAGCGAAAAGGCAGCCATTGGCTTCATCAAAACATTTCACAACGTCGCTTCGTTTTAATGGCGGCCAAGTCGTCAACATGGTCGCGCCGGCAACGGTAACGACAGCCCAAGCGACCGACCTTTTGTTGCTTAATTGGCGCGCTGGCCAGTAGTGCCGTTACACTGGCAGAAACGTTTACTCTAATGTAGAGATGGGCACGTGTCGAATCGTTTCAGCACGACACGACACGAATACAAAGCCAAATTCGTCGCAAATATCACGACTATCGATAAATGCATTTGTTGTCAATATTTCATTGAAGAACAGCTAACAGATATCTTGGATTTAATGAGGCGGCTATGTTAAGGGGCAATTTTTTTTTGTATCACGCTTTACAGCTATCTGAGATTAAATTAGCAGGTTTTGCTAAAGTTTCGGGAAGTGTATCGTCTAATGTTTAAAATTATGAAGGATTCATTTTAGTTGGGCTCTGAGCATGGCTACTTCGCATTCTGAAGCATTAACTCGCATTGCTAATATATTAAGATAAAAGCTAATCATTTTAATTATTTTAGCGAATTTTATCTAGAAACTTTTCGTTCCTTTTCTATATGCATCCCATATATATTTGATTTCTTCTTTCGTCCTAGCTTCCAGTATGAATACTCATTTAGCGGGAGCCAAATATATGAACATAAGTTTTATTTTATTTAATTATTGACTTTTCATTAAATGCCGTACGATTTCAGAGTTTCTTAACACGATCGTGTCGTCTCAAATGGCGCGTGTTCGTGTCACCGTTGAAAACACGACACGCGCTCAGCTCTAGGCGCAATGTGATAAGTTCAGCTTCCCGCGGCCTGCATATGTAATTCAAGAGGCAGCAACAACATTTTGCGCCGTGTGCGCGATTCGTTCACGTCCACACGCCATTTGCATTCCGGCATTGCCATTGTCCTGCGCCAACCGATGTCCTCGCGGCATCCTGGGCATGGACAGGGCCGTAAGGGAGTAGGAGCGTGTGCTGCTGCTGCTGTACGTGTGTCCAATATAACTTTGGCAACGGGCAGCGAGCAGCAAATACGTAATCACAAGAACGTCAGAAGGCGTCAGAAATGACAGCAACAAAACAATGTGGCAAATGTGCAACGTGAGGCGTTGGCACTTTGCTGCTTTAGCATTCGTCTCCGCCAGGCAACAAGGGACTAAGACTGAGGCTGACCCTGCGACTCGAACGGAGACTGGGGCAGCAGCAGCAGCAGCAGCGCGGTCATTGCAGTTATGTCACATGGCTGACTTAATTCATTCATTTAGACGACTCTCGCAATTGTAGGTGTCGCACCCTCTGTCATTTCGACGCAGTGAAGCAATATGAACAATATGAAATTATGAACGCTGCACTACCCTGTAATTTCGTGGTTTAAATGCATGAAAATAAAAATGATGAGTTTCGCATTTGATAATCAAATAAATGCGGAAACTTTACCTGCAAAACTGTAAATGTTATCGATGCTTCTGATTTGCGATAACGCAAAGAGGCGTGGCCAGCCTTATTTGTAGTTATAACGGAGCGCTCTAACCTAAGAAATTGCATTTTCGAGAATTTATAACTGTTTGGCAATAACAGAAACAGGAATTAAATGCAAATTAGAATTTATATACAAATATTACCTGTGTGGCCAGCCTATACGCTTACGCCCGTGGGCACAGGGTACAATAACTTCTGCAACGACTACACAAGCAGCAGTCTGTGGAGAGCCATTATGGCACCGACATTGTCAATGACTGGCACTGGCGAATTATTATTGCCTGGTGCAGGCAGTTGGACGCCAACGACGCCCAATGTGCTTGTCATTGTTCCCAGTCCTGCCCGCCATTGTGCACACTGTGCATGCAAATGCAAATGTGTGTGTGTGTGCGTGTATGTTGTACATGCATACAGACATATGTATGTGTTGGCATGACATGTATGCTCCATCTTGTTATGACATTTGAACCATTTCGCGCAGGTGGGATTTGGGTTGGGCAGCAACATGACTGCAGCCATTTGTCAGTTAGTCAATCAGCAGCTTGGCTGGGCGGGTGAGACACACTTAGTTTAAAGCATTTTTGCCATACATTACAATGACGATGAAATACGCGCACACACACACCCACACACATTCATATAGGTAAATAAGAGCTGCTAATGCTTTTTGTTAACGGCTATAAATGATTGGTATGCCGATCAGGTATTTGGCGCACATTGCAGAGGTTTAGTACCAAAGCCTTGAGCGGGAAAAAATGTTTTGTAGTGCAGTGTTGTTAGATCGTTCGCAGATTACAACCAGCTGATATTTAAATTCCATCCCCGATTGTTGATTATACTCCAATCGATATAAGTATCGATAACGGCATATATATTTTGTGTGATCTGCATACGCAGCTAAAGATGCACAGGCTCTTATATTATGGTATTATTTATTTATGTACGTAGATGTTATTCAAATAATACATGTATAAATAGACTATTAACACACATGTGCTATTTTCCTAGCAGATTTATTATTTTTGACAGCTTAAATGCTGCACACCATCTACATTAAAATGAAATTCAAAGAGCAACGGTCGCACTGTTGCGTCGGCTGGCAGCACTGTAGTGTTGTAAGGCGCATGCGCAGCGGCGTTGCCACACATTCATTTCAAATTTGACTTTTGCGCTAACGAACGTCGTGGAGAACGCAAGAACACAAAAAAGGGACGCTACAACGCTTAAAACTAAAGTACATTATAAAACAAATAAATATAAAACGTGCTAAGCATAACAGGTACGCAATATGCTTGGCGCTACTATTAACACACAAATGACAACGATGCGCAAAAGCGCCGCTGCCGTCGCGGCCTTGGCAAACAACAAAGGACAACAGGCAGAGAGGCAGCAACAAGTGCCGCAACAGGCTGCCTCCAATTTAACAGAAATTATAACAAAATTGCAATTGGATTATGGCAACTACAAGTACACTGTCTATCGATGTGCTAGCAAGTTTGTGGCATTGCAAAAAATCTTTCACAGTAAGCAACAGGAATATCTGTAAATTTGCAATTTTTTTTATTAGCAGCCTTCTTTACAGCTAGCAAAATACCCTATAAATTGGTGCTGGCCATACTGGAACGCCATGGGATGCCCGTGAGCAGCGGCAATTGTAATCTGAATCTGATGGTGCCGCCCTTTCAGCTCACCTCGCTGCTGCACGACATTTACCTTGCCTGCGAGAAGCTGGGACACTTTAACAAAACACAAAGCTATCAGCTGGAAACGGCAACAGCGCTATTGGCCAATTTCTTTTGGAATGTCTACGATCCGTATGTGTTACTTCTAATTATATAGATTATTAATTTCATATCAATAACGTTACATGCTTGCAGGCAACGGCGTCATTCCATCTCGCTGCTGGAGATCAAGGTGACATTTCTGCTGCTCTGCAAGCTATACAGCAGCGAGCATATGGTGGGCGACTTCTACAGCCTGCTGGCCGATGTGAAATCCCAGTGTGTTTCACGTTACGCCTTCGAGCAGCTGCTGCACACGCTCAGCAAGCTGCTGAGCTACCTGGGCGAGTCAAAGGCCTATGGGCCGCACAATTTACAGCCCATGATGGAGCAGTGCTTCGCACGTTGTCATCACGGACTCGCCGGCCTCAACGAGCAACAGTTTCACAATCTATGGACGCACACGCAGACACGTTTCCTTATCTATGGCAATCTGTTGGCGCTGATCAAGCGCATCGAGGATACGGAGCATCTGATACACAGCAATCAGTGTGCCAGCTGTCGCATAGAGCACATCATTGGCATCCGGTTCAAGTGTCAGGTGTGCCGCGATTTGTCGCTGTGTTTGCCATGCTTTGCCGCTGCCGCGCATGTCAGCGGCAAACATGAGGCATCGCATCGCATGTGCGAAGTGTTTGTTGAGGATCAGCCGCAACCGCAGCGCTGGACAAACTATTTGTCGCGCCTATGCGGCTGGTTTGCCCTTGCGCAGAAAACACAACGTGCCGAGGCCGAGGAGGAGGAACGTCGCGGCTTTTGCAATGCTCAGGAAAGCGGCGCTGGCGTCTGTCAGCCCAATAATGCCACCGAACTGACGCCCATACCAGCCGAAACGCGCAGCATACGCAGCAGCTCAACGCTGCGCCTAAAGGCGCCTCCAAATGAGAAACCACAGCAGCCGCAGCCGCAGCCGCAACATCAGCCGCCACCACAACAGGAGCTATGTATGTCATTGGAAATGAATACCCAAGTACCCCAATACCCCAATGTACCCCATTTACCCCTAATGAGTAAAATGATATAGATATGTTTGTCAGGCCGAAAGAAGCATCTCCGAAAGGACCGCGAAATACAGCATATGGAAATAGGATATACGAAATAGAATATTTACGATTTGTCCGTCAAATATACACTACACCGTCAAATATACACTATACTCTAATTCGTATATTCTATCCTATTTCATATACCCTACTTTGTTTTCAATAAGAAATAGAGTATATAAGCAGTCGGAATGGAATATATATCATGATGCTTCTCTGTAGCCATATCTTTTAAATATTATGCATCCAGAATCGTCCCATGTCCCTCTATTTGTATTTGAATACGCTGTAAATTCTGCGACCGTCTTACTAATGCGATTGTTGTTGTTGGCAATTTCTGATATACTAACAATTGACTGTTTATTTTAATATTTCAACCGTTTTTCGTTCAGGCTCCTTAACGGGCCTGGCCAGCAATGCATCGGAACGCCTGCAATCCATCATCGACCGTCTGTTGCTGCAAAATGCGTAAGTAGCGCCTGCTATTCATATTTTATATTGTAATACTCTGATTTTCTGTGCAACAGCAAGCTGGAAACGCAACTGCAACTGCTGTCCAGCACGTCGAGCGCTCAAATATCCGAGTTTCTAAGCGCCCATCAGAGTTTCTTGCTGCAAATCATTGAGGATATGCGTCAACTATCGGTATGCCCGGCACACTCGCAGCCATATTAATATTGTATTAATATTTTTATATATTCGCAGCGTGCCTCGTCTGCCGCACCGCTGATCAGCTCCACGTTCTTGAATTCCAGCACGCCGCAACGCCTGCCGCTGCCCGTGGCACCAGCTGTATATGATATGTACGCGCCTGTGGGCGCCAATTTAACACATTCCAGTGCGTGTTAATTAAATTCCTTCATTTGGAAATGTTCTCTAACTTGCTTTCTCATTCGCTCTTGCAGTCAATGGCGCCGAGCTGAATCGCAGCTATTTGGAGGCCAACAAATCGGATTACTCCCTAAGCGACATTAGCTTGTGGTTCGATCAGCGTCGTTCCAGTTTACTGCCTACAGCCGGTGCACAGCCGGCGGCACTTTCGCTGGCCATGCCGCTGGGCGCGCTCCTGGAGCAATCGGTGAATGTGGACATGCGGGACACGGAAATGGTGAACTTTAAGCTGCTGCTAAACAAGGTCAAGGAAATTGTTGAGGACTCGTACAGTGATAATGCGGAGCTGTCAGCGGCCACACAGAATCTGGAGAATGTGCTCGACAACATCATCAAGAGCGAGGAGCAGCAGCGACGCAGCAGCTGCAGTGCCAGAAGCTCTCAGCGTGCAGTGTCCTAAAAAAAATCTTTTCTTATGAACTATGTGGACAAACTTTAACAAATCTTCATTTGACGTGCTTTAAATTAAGCTAAACACTGTATATAAAATATTGTTTAAGCTAAAACAAATGTTTCTTAACAATTTGACATATTTGTCAAGTCGTTCGAGATGCGATTCTTCTAAGTAATTCTGCCTTATCCTATATGTCATATTTGAAGCATTATATGTATGCCTGGTAAGGATAAGAGCAGAAACATTTATATAAACATATCCGTCCACGCTAAGTTTTTTTTTTTCATCTTAATATTAAGCTGTAATTCGAAGAAAGCACGAAACATTACTAATTGTGCGTGGATGAAATGATTCGAAAATGTTATGAAAACTAAAGCTAAGTTTCATTTTTTGAATTAAACACACTTAAAACATTAAATAACTATCTGTTTGAATAAAATTTTTTCTAAAAGTTGATCGACTAACTGATTGGGTAAGAACTTTAAATCATATCATGGCTAATATTTGAAGTATGATACTGAAATCATCTGTCCACTGATCTATTTCTCTTGAATTCTTATTCGTTAACGCTTTTCAGATAGTTCAGATAGCGATTTCTCTTTGCGACGCATTCGCTAACGTTTCACTGGCAACGTGCCTATAAAACTAGCACAAAATCATTTAAACATGAGCTTAATTGAGTTCAAGGATAACAGCTCAAATCATGTCCCAAGGAAATAATATTTGCTTATACGGATATGCACGGAATAACCGTAGTAATAACAATTTTCAATACAAAATTAATGGTTTTCATTACTTATAAGCTAATATAATATTAAATAAGTTCAATCCTATTCAGCATCGTCCATAAAAGAGGTTACGCCTCATGCGACTAGCTTGTTTCCAGCTGCGTTTGGCTCTTGATGTCAGTTACCATCAAATCGGTGGCCAATTCCAGCTGATGGACACGTCTCAGGCTGTTGGCCCAGAGCTCTGTCTGCGGCGATTGCAACTGCAACAACTCCGACTTGGCCTGCAGTTCGTCGCGCAGTGCCGATTCCAATAGCAGCGCCGCATTTGCGGGCACACTGCACAGATCCTCGTGCAGCTCCAGCAGCGAAACGTTGCAGTGCAGCTGCAGCAGATCCCGCAACAGTCGGCGCAGCAACAGACACAACTGCGTCTGGCTGCCGGCATAGATGTGCCAATACTGGTCAGGATCGTTGCGCAGCAGCAGTAATTGCAATTGACAATTGTAAAATATTCGGTGGACAGTCGAAGAGGAGGAGTCATTGCGACCATGGCCGCTGTTGTTGCCAAAAGCAAAGTCCTCTGCCAAGCAAGTGTCCTCCAGCAGCTGCATAGCTGTTAAAGAAGAGAATCTCTATAGGTATGGAGCTGTTCAGGAGACATTACTGAGCCACTTACACTGCTTTCGGGTCTCCTGCTCTTCCGGCACAGTTGTTGCAGCAAAGCCCAGTTTTTTGAGCAGCAGCTGCTCGAATTGCATTTGCTGCTCCACGCCCTGAAACTGCAATCGCAATGCGCAGTGCGACGTCTGTGTCATGATCACGGCGAGAAAATCCTGATGCAGCGTTTGTGCTGCAAAGCTGGGCACATGCAGCTCCTGTTGCTCCAGCAGCGCGGAAATATTAATGCTGGCCAGTTGCAGCTGCAGCTGCCGCTTAGACTCGCCATGCAACTCGTACAGTGCCAGCAGCTGTATAGAATCCAGCGACAGCAAATCCTCTAGCTGAAGTCGAACCAGCAGCACGGCGCTGCGTTCAGGCGACAGCTGCTGGACGCAGGCGGCGGGCTGCCAGCTGATACTTTTGCTCTGCTGCTCCTGGCTGGCCCAGAACTGTGCCAGCTCATCATAATCCTCTGGCGGCTGGCCATCCGCCTGCAAGGGCAGCTCATACAGGCGATGGACATAGTTCAGCCCGCCGCCTTGGGGCAGGTAGAGTAGCGGGCGCACAGCATGCAGCGTGGTGGCACGATTGCTGCCCGCCGTATTGGTTAGCAGCATGCCCAGCACCAGCGCATCGCCACAAATGCGCGTCCAGATATCGCCGCAACGCCGCAGCAGCTGCTTCTCCTCCAGCAGCGGCGAACGTTCGCCGGGCGCGCCGAATGTGTGCAGCTCGCGCGCGCGCTCAAAGTCCATTTGCGTTTGCGCGCGCTGTGTGTGCAGCTCGGCGCGTGCGCAGTGAACGCGCTGCATCAAACGCTTAAATCCGGCGGCGCTGTTGTTGTTGCTGCTGCTGCCAGTTGGAGCTGCCTCGAGTGCATTGTCAGTTTGAAAATTTGTGCGCAGCCGCTTGCCATTGCGGAATTGCAGCTCGACATAGGCCTGATATTTGATGGGTCCCTTGACCAGCCTGTACTCCTGCACATTGTCGTGCTCAGCAATCAGCTCGAAGCTGGCGCCATGCTCATTGGGTCGCTGCAGCACAAGCAGCTTTTGCCAGCAGCGCAGCAGCACATAGATGTGCTCACGCAACCAAACGTACTTGCCAATGCTTAGTGGCAGCTCCTCGACGGCGTGCAGCATGCTGTAGCTGGTCGCATCACCGCTGGTGTCGGCGACATCGTCGCGTATGAGAAAACTGCTGACGGGTCCGCTGTACGCCTTCAATTCCGTGGCCAGCTGCTGCAAGCATGTGCCCCTGAGATCGATGTGATGCAATAGCTCCTTTTTTTGGAACTCGTAGAACTTTAAATTACGACCAAGCACCAGGCTGGTGCTCGTTTTCTTAACATGCAGCTGACTGCAATAAGCAACTGTGTCGCGCTGTGTCAAAAATTCGGGCACGTCCTCCCCGACAAGCGTCAACATAATAATGTAAACAAAAAAAAAAAAAAAAAAACAAAAGACCGCTAAAGGCAGCTTTCTAGAGATGAACAATTATATTGTGGTTGCCACTTGTGAAGCAGTTAACAGAGTTGCATTATCAGTTAGATAGTTGACTATCGAACTGCACTGCCAGAATTCAATTATAACGGCTATGCAATAGTTGTTTAACACTATTTTTATTCAATTGTAAATTGCACGAAGCGCAAGTATTTTCACAAAAAAAAAAAAAATTGCTTACAACTAATAATTAATGATATGCACATTTGATAGGAACAAAGAAGTCGATTTAAAAAAAAAGGATTTAAAAAATAGTTTTCGGAACTTATTCACATCACAAGGCGGGCCACTTTGAGCGCCCCCTCAAAAACTCTTCGCAATCTCTTAATGGGAATATCAAATTAACATCTGTTCGCGGGAGGCCATCAACAGCGGCTTCTGCTGTACGCCAGTGGACAGGACGAGCGAACGTCGCATCCGATTGCGCTGCATGCTGCTATTGCGCTCCCGCACAGATTGCCGCAGCTGCTGACGACGTGCGGCTCCAACGCCGGCGGCATCCTTTTCGGCGGCATTCATCGCCGCCAGCAAATCGAAGGCAGCGCGTTTTTGCTCCTTGGTCCACATATTGGTCAACTGTTGCGGCGGCTGCGGCTGCTGTGTGACTGGCAGCTTGGCAGCCAATGGCGGTCGGCGCGGCTGATGCTGCTGATCCGATGCTGCCGGCGCAGGCGCTGCTGGCTTAGCGGCTGCTGATGGCTTCACAGGCGCTTTACCCGCGCGACTGAGTCCAAACAGAGACAATATGGACTTGCGACGTGTGCTGGAAGCCTGACTCTCGGCGGATTCATTGCTGGACACACTCGTTTGCATAGGCAGCGGCGCAGCTGGTGCCGCACCCGTTGCCGGCTCCAGCGAATATTTGGTGCATTTGGGTGGCGACTGAAATGTGACCCGGCGCAGCGTATTGCTGTTGTTGCTCTGCAGCTGCTTGGGCGCCGTCAGCATGGCCAGATTCATTTTGGCCACCGTCGGCGATGTCTCATTCAGCTCGATGCTGCAGTAGGTGTCATCGTGGCGCGTGGACAGCGGCTTGCGCGGCGGCACTGGTGGCACCTGCTGCCGACACTGGCACTGACACTTGTTCTGTGCCTGGGCCAGTGCCTGTGCCTGTGCTTGGGCCAGCTGCTCAGCCTGCTCCAGCTTGAGCCGCAGCTCGCGTTCCATTGTTTTGAGCCGCTCCTCGGCCGCTTGCAGCTCGCTGGCTCGCTGATCCAGCAGTGATTCGTGTGCTCGTATCGCATGCAAACGCTGCTGCAGTGCATCATCGAAGATGTTCTGTGTGACGCGTTGCGGACTCAGCTGCAACGTAGCCGGCGGCTCCCGGCGTATGCTCTCGTAGAGCGATGGATCCGATTTCTGCAGCTGTTTGCTGCCAAAGATGCGCCGCTTGGCCGAGTAGAAGAGCTCGCTACGCAGATCGGGCGTAAAGACGCCAGTGACGCTCAGGCGCCGCTGGCCATAGCCCTCATTGAAGCTATACTGTTCCGTGAACAATGTGCTGGATAACTCCGGCGATTCGGGAAACAACTTGCCCACGCCGGGCAGCTGAAAATCCTCACCAGCGTCGACAAGACGTGGAAACTCGGCAACCAACTGGTTAATATTGCGCACCAGCAGCGGATGACGTGTGATTACCTCAATGCCCGGACGCTGCTCATGATCCACGGCCAACATGAAGCCAATGATGGACTGCAGATCGCTGCTGTAGATTGCCGGAATGCAGCTAAACTGACCGTGGGCAATATTCGCAGACAGCTGCTCAAATGCGCGTCCCCGAAATGGCGGACGCAATGCGCAGAGCTCATAGATGAGACAACCGACCGCCCAGACATCACTCTTGCGATCGTATTGCCTGCCCTTGACCAGCTCCGGGCTCATGTAGTGCGGTGTGCCCACAAAGCTGGCGGCAAAGCTCTGATCCCGGCGTAAAACGCGCGCCAGACCAAAATCACCCAGCTTAACATTGCCGCTGGCATCCAGAAATATGTTCGCCGGCTTTATGTCGCGATGGAGTATGGTGCCGCTGGGTATCTTATTATGGCACACCTGGAGCGCACGGCACAGCTGGAAGAGCACACGCCAAATGTACGGCTCCTCGAAGCGTTGCCGTTGCGTCCGTGCGCGCTGTATTAGCTGGGCAAGATCACCGCCATCACAGCACTCCATCACGATATATATTGATTTGGCCTCCCGATTAACCAGATGATGATAGTACTGCACTATGTTGGGATGCTGCAGTTGACGCAGCACACTTATCTCCGATATTAGGGATTCGCATTTCTCATCGCCCAGCTCGTCGTAGTTCATGCCCTTCCAGGCGTATAGTACACCGGTGGTTTTATCCTTTACCTTGTAGCAGGTGCCAAAGGCGCCGTTGCCCATCACGGCCAGCACCTCGTAGTCCTGGAGCGTTTTCTTGGCAAACTCTGATGTGTTCTTATGGGCTGGCGACTCGGTGGCACTGCCCCCGCCGCCTAACTGCTCGGTGCTGCTCATGCTGAGGCTATGTTTCCAATAAAGGAGCAATAACTGTTGTTTACATAAACTCTTTTCACTATTAATTCAATTTCCATTCGCCCGCTCTCCTGTTCTGTTTGCATTGAATGCCGAAAACTAACTAAGCGTTGCTCCTGCAAACGAGTTTCGGCAAATTCATGTACACACACACACACACACACACACAATCATGCGCATGCGCACCCACACACACAGTTTTACCTGCGAAAACCAACAACAACAGCAGCGCACACAAAACAAGTGTTGTACACTGCATACACATTAGAGATGAGCCGCATGCGCGTATCTGTGACTGTGACTGGCACAAGGGCGAATGAAACGGCGAAAGCTGTCAATAAACAAAGCGAAAAATGTATATTGCACTCCGTTTTCTTTTACCACAGACAATAAGCAGCGCGCTAACATTATACCCTTCTTTTATCATGGTCGAAACAAAAGAAACGACCAGCCGCTAACACCAACAAGAGTGAGAGACAAAATGTGTCGATGCAGTCGCGCATGGATATGAAAGTCACAGTAAAAGTCACAGTTATGTAAATGGCTTCTAAAAATCACAACATAGCTCAACACTAAATGCATATCTTCTTACGTTCCTAGAAGGCTGTCGCTGTTGCACTCACACGCACACAAACACACACAAAAAGAGATTGAGCAGAAGGGAGGGAGGGACGCCGACGCACTTTGCAAATCTTGCACGCTGCGCGGTCGCGCCGTTGCCTTGGGCCTGTGTACAAAATAAAAACCGTTGGGTGTGCATTCAGGACAGTGTCTGCGGACGAATGTCCTTTGGCACAGCACGCCCGCAATTTGAACAATTGTCTATGCTCGTTGCCCACACAGTGACCATAAAAATAAATTAGTTTTGTTGCGTTGGCATTTCAATTTGTGCGTCTGTTGTTTCACTCGGTGTCTGCCTTTGCGCCGCTCAACCGGATTATGTTACACGCACACAGGCATACAAAAATCAAATTTCAGTTTTTAGATCCTCTTTGAGCTAAGTTATTATGCATTTCAATACGCTATTTTTCATTCAGCAAAACATGAGCCGCTTGAAATCCTAACGGATTTTGTGCATAAAAACACTTTTGTTAATGCTGTCTCGCTCGCACGCAAGGTGCAATTATGCTGCTAGCTGAGATTTTCGTGTATGTGCATTCGTTGTGTATGTGTATATGTGCGCGTGTGTGTGTGTCCAGCTAGAGTCCAGGTAGAGCAAGCCAAAAACGAGTTATCTTCGGCTTATCGTTAGCCCGTGTGTTGATGGTTTTATGGTTTTTCATGTGTAAAACAAACAATGGCCAAAAGAAACAGGCAGCAACGTAATCCTTCATAAATAAATCAGGGTTCGACTGTCCTACAATCCGTGGTTTGTGTTTATTGCCCACCATTGTTTGTACGGGCCAGTGTTGGCAACTCGAATTATCTACCTCAAATTTGGCCGTTTTTTTTCAAGTATTTTCTGTAGCTGTTTTCATAGTTTTTTTTCACGCTAAATTTAGCCATTACACAACAGAATTTGACAACACTGGTGCCGGCGACCGCAAGATGTTAGGTCAGCGAGATTGGTTTGTAATGCTAACGTTTATGGACCTGCACTTTGCAACACAGGTACACGCACAATTCCACTTAATAAGCCATATATCACATTTACCAGCATTTCACATAGCCATGTTACAGTTTATTTTAACGACAGTGAGGGGAAAAAAAATTGTAGTGATAGTATGCGACCTTAATGCCTAATCACCAGGACGGCGGCTGGTTTTCGCTGCCAGCGGGGCGCGCATAGAGGGCGCTCTTGTCGCGGAACATGGTCATGCGTTCCGTTTCCTTTTTATCCAGAAAATGTCCAATCGCAAAGCCAAGCAGCGGTAACGCCGCCCACAAGGCGCGCTTATCCAGACCGAGCACCATTTTGTGTTATATTTGATTTAGCTTTGACTCTTCAGCGCCGCGCTCTGTGCTGCTAGCAGTTGTTGGCGTTTCCAAGCGCGTGTATGGGACCAGTCTGCGTAGATGGAGCCGACTGCAACAGTTGGAAAGAATATCACTGCACCGTACTTTCGCGCCAGCTGTAAGATGACGCTACTGCCCATATGTATGTGTCTTGGTCAATGCGAATGAACTGTAAACAAACAACAATTAATGAGTGCAACATGAACGTGTTAAAGGGCTGTTATTTTTTTTTTTTTTTCTTGGGTTACGTAATGGAAGTGTAAGAAACGACAGTACTAATGACATTTTAGTGTGTGCAATGCCAACAATTGCTTACTCTGTACGCACACGACAAAGGACGTATTTGTTTCAAACAGCTTTACCGAATAATATAAGAAAATTGCCAAATTCTTTGTTGTTATTAACTTACGCTTATGCAAAAGCCTGGTCGATTAGAGATGTGAGATGAACACTGCTTGGCGATATATCGAAACAAGAAACAATATGTTAAAATATATACTAGTATCGGTAGATTACAAAAGTTAAGTACGCGCCATAAATATTTTATTTATTACCTGTCACAGTAGTGCAGCACAACCATTCCATTTTTGTTTGTCTTTGTTAAATATTAAGTACAAATTGTAAAACCGCAATTTTATACTTTAAAGTTGCTCGCCAAAATACCAATAATACCAAAATCGGTATTTTTGAAATAATTTGACTATGGCTATCGTTACTACAATTGATGTCACATGCGGGTCCGATAACGATGACATTTCTGATACAAATTTGCCGGCGCGACAACAACTGGGCCGGCATTTTGGTAAAAGATTCCAATTGTTATATTGAGTAATTTGATTTTGTGTAGTGTGCGACTGTTTGTGCAACAAGGAAACTCGCAAATCTGGATGCATGCAATGAGATGATTGCCGTCGCAGAGCCGCCACTGGAATTCATTCCTCGCGGTCGTCAGGCGGCAGAGGAGCATCCTGGGCCCACAGAACCGCCGTTGCCCAAATATTTGCCCGCCGAGCATTTGCTACTGCAGCGTCTACAAAATGTTAATATCTCGGCCGCCACAGAGGAGCCACAAGAATTCTGGTGCATTCGCGAAATCTATGATGACTACGAGGCCAGCTATGAGCGCGCCCAGCGTCGCCAGCAGCTAATCGAGCAGACCAAAAAGTGCGGTCCGAATGCCGCCGCTGCCACGCAGCTGACATCGCTGCCGCAACAGTTGCTGGAACCGATCAAGCAGCGTCGTGAGGAGCCCATGTGCGACTACATTGTGAACAACGAGGAGGAGCTGTACGTGAACAAGCACACGGTCATCTGGACGCAGGGACTCAACGATGACGATGATGGTGTGCAACGGCGCATGTGCTTCACTTGCGACACGCCGGTGAAATTCGCCTGCTTCCTGAATCGTCGCTTTGTGCGCGGTCGCTTGGCTCAATTGCGCGCCGCTGTCCAACCGGAGGATGACAGCTTGACGGCCATTTGTGTGGTCGATCAGGATGCACTGCGCGTCTATTGTGATGATGGCGATGACTTCTTGGCCAATCTTGATTTTCCCGTCTCGCATTTGTGGCAAACGGAGCACGGCTTGCTGCTGGAGAAGGACTCCAGCAATGCGCTCGTCTCGCATCTGTCCATACCAATGCCGCGTCTGTTCTCCATGTCGCATCCCTTGCACGAAGCCTGCCCGGTTGTGCTTAAAACATCCACCAGTTCCACTGGATACATGACCGAACCGGAATACAGTGTGGTCTTCACAGCCGAGGATTCGGACCTGGTGCTGCTCTACGATGCCAAGTTCTTCAAGCATTTTGCTGCCCGTCTGCGCAAAGTGACGCCCGAGGAGGTGAACTGTGTGAGCCAACAGCAGCAACAGGAGCTGCTCAACCAGACGCTGCAGGGACATCGCGGCACACCTGGCACCAGCAGTGTCCATAGCTTCAGCTCCACCAAGCTAACAGGCGGTGGGTAAACTTTTAAATATACACCAACACAAGGGGCATGGGCCATATCAGGTTATTTAAGCTTCGACTTACTAATCTCTTGCATCTTGTTTTGTTTTGCAGCTACGCCCAAGCTGAGCACCGCATCCTTTCTGGGACGCAACACACCAATTACGCCGGCAAACAATTTCTCCAAATATGGCCTCAGTCAGTCACAATCTTTTAGCGGCGTCCTCGGTCAATCCAAGTGAGTAGCTACCGCCGAGTTGTATTATTTGTAAATCACCATCGACTAATCTTCTGGCTACACTCGCTTTCAGTCGCGCCTCGCTGGGCACACCGCTTAGTCAGCTGCAGAATAGCATTAGCCAGCAGTCGGTGTCCGTCAAGGATATGCGCAAGATGACGCACGTGAAGCCGGCCAAGCCCATTGAGCCGGAGATGTGCTTGGAGCACATCTGGACAGAGAATACGTATGGCACGTAAGTTTGTCCGACAACCAATGACAACTGTTCCCAGCTTGAATTTTAATACATTTCACGTATGCAGCCAACGCGAATTCTGTGAGATGGCGACCCGAGCCTTCATCCACACGGATCTGGTGGGTCAGACGTATTTGTGCTATTTGCTGCCACGTTCCTGCCGTCTGCAGCTGGTGCTGATCCATGGCTACGACACCAGCGAGCTGCAGCTGTCCACGATGGCCTCCACGCTGCCCGCCAAGGATGCGGTGGGTCTGCAGCGTTTGCATATGATTGCCGTGCTGGATCCGGGCGGCAATCTTATATTATACACGGGCACTGTGCTCATTTCCAAGGTGCACATAACGCCACAGCTGACAACGACCGCGCCCAGTGTGCACAGTGCCACGCCCACGCCAGGAAGTGCACCCGCTGCGACTGTACATCCGCATACGCCCCTGCAGGCCATGCTGCCATCACAGCTGAAACCGGCCAGCAGCTCCTTTGTGGAGGTGCGTCGCAGCAGCCTGTTGCCCACCAAAGCGGCAGCCGATCTGAATGCCTTTGATGAGGAACTGGAGCTGCATATGCTGTCGCCCATACAGCCCCAAGCCATGTCCTATACGCAACGGCAGGCGCATAACATATGCAAAGCGCTGCGCGATCCCGCCGGCAATCGATTGACCCTGGTCTATGCCACCGGTCGCATGTTGCGCATTGCCCTGCCGCTGCTGAACGATACGCGCCTCATTACACGCTGTGTGGCCGCCCTGCGGCAGGTGCTCAATCCGACACAATTTCTGCACTTCATCATACGATGGTACAGTGCACGTAATCCGCCCGGTTCGCGGGACTACAGCATCGAGCAGGAGTGGCAACTGTTTCGCAGCACACTGCTCGGCCTTATGGGCTGCATGGGCACGGCAACGGCCAACGAGAGTACCGAGGTGGATGAGTCCTATGCACGCTGTGCCACGCCGCCAATGCAAACGGCCCACATGGGCTGTGGCGCGGCACAGGATGAGCCGCAGAAGCGACGCAAATACAACGATTGCGAATCCTATACCGACGATGATTGGGAATTTATGCTGTTGCAAACGGCGCTCTCCGCCTGCCCAACAGATCCACCGCATGCGTACAGTGTGGACGTGACGGCGCCATTGTTTCGCATGTTGCCCGCCATATTCTACGGGCTGCACATGCTCTACGAGGATCTCAAAATGGATGCGGTCTTTCAGAGCTCACTCCTCTATCTGGCTTCGGTAGGTGTCTTGTATATAATAATTAAAAATAAAATAATAGTATTTTGATTATTTTATATGCAGTTTCTGCACCAACTGGCAATTGACATGCAGCTGGACAGCTATATATTTCACTATCATCTGGACTTTCCTGAGCTGACGCACAAGACGACCAAACTGACAATGCTGGGCAACGAGCATGGCGCCCTGATGCTCTACCAGGAGCTGTTGCGCATGCCGGCGCCCAGTGTCCATCTGCAGCTGGAGCACGTGCTGCTCGGTCGGGAGGAGGTGCCGCCGCTTAGCTATTTGGAGTGCATCAATGAGCGTAGCCGGAATATGGTGCAGCTGGTCTCGCTGGTGATGCATGGCCACACCAAGCTCAAGCACTGGTGGCAGCTGCTCGAGATCTTCGGTGCTGTACAATCGAACTTTAAGAAGCGCCCCAAGCGCAGCATTTCGGTGGATGTGCCGCGATGCCATCAGGTCCTCGAGCTGTTGCTATGCATGCAGCTGACACGTCGCGATATTGAACGTTTGCCGGCCGCAGTGCATCTGGTGGTTGCCGAGTGCCTGGAACAGGCGCGTCTAATGCCGCCCATGGGCAGCAGCATGGCCACCTATGAGCTGATACTGCGACCCGAGCTGGCGGCGCATGCACAGCTGCCATTTCTCGAAACGACTTTCGGTCAGCCGCATTGCGGGCGCGTCTACAAGGAGGATTCACTGTCGCCACGTATAGCGCCCAGCAGCGGTGAATGGCCCATGGCCGAGCCGGAGGCCGAGCAGTTGCGACACGATGGGATGGACAATATGGATACGAAACTGTTGCGTCTGCGCTTTCCAGACGACATGCGTGTCGAGGAGGTGCGTCGTCTGCTCAACAGCGCCGATCCGGTGGCCATCGAGGTGCAACAATCGCCCGGCACAAGCGATCACGAGTTCATCGAGGAGCAGGAGAAACAGCTATTTGCGCTCTGTGCTCGGACCATGACCCTGCCACTGGGCCGGGGCATGTTTACGCTGCGCACCCTGCTGCCCCGGCCGAGCGATAATATGCCCATGCCCAAGCTGTGCCTGGTGGGCCGGGAGCCGGTCAAGGGCACCACCATTGAGATGCAACAGATTGAGTTCCCTGCCAATATGCATATGTGGCCATCGTTTCATAATGGCGTCGCGACTGGCCTGAAAATCTCGCCGCAAGCATTGGAAATTGATTCCACATGGATTGTCTACAACAAGCCAAAGACACAGGCGAACAATGCATTGGAGCATGCCGGATTCCTGATGGCTCTCGGCCTCAATGGCCATCTCAAGTCGCTGTCATTTATGAGCGTCTACAAGTATTTGGTCAAGTGCGATGAGATGACCAGCGTCGGCCTGCTGCTGGGCATCTCGGCGGCGCATCGCGGCAGCATGGACACCAAAACAACAAAATTGCTGAGCGTGCATCTGGAGGCTCTGCTGCCGGCGACTGCCATGGAGCTGGACATACCGCAGAGCACACAGGTGGCCGCTCTAATGGGCATCGGTTTGCTCTATCAGGGCTCGGCTAAGCGGCACATTGCCGAGGTGCTGCTCCAGGAGATTGGCCGCCCGCCCGGTCCCGAAATGGAGAATAGCATTGAGCGTGAATCGTATGCAATGACTGCCGGTTTGGCACTCGGCCTGGTCACCCTGGGCCAGGGTGAATCTCCGGCTGGTCTGCGCGATCTTCAGCTGCCCGATACGCTGCATTATTATATGGTTGGCGGCGTCAAGCGGCCCATTGGCGGCTCACAGAAGGAGAAGTATCGCCTGGCCTCCTTTCAGGTGCGTGAGGGCGATAGCGTTAACATTGATGTGACCGCACCGGGCGCCACATTGGCGCTGGGTCTCATGTTCTTCGACTCGGGCAATACGGCAATTGCCGAGTGGATGCAGCCGCCGGATTCGCGCTATTTGCTGGACATGGTGCGTCCAGATTTTCTGCTGTTGCGCACCATTGCACGCGGCCTAATCCTGTGGCAGCAGGTGCAGCCGGACAACGACTGGTTCCAGGCGCAATTTCCCCAAACCCTGCGTACGCACCTTCGTCTGCCCACGCGCGAAGATGAGCCGCCCGAGGACAGCGATGTCGACTATGAGGCCATCACGTTAGTTGCCCAGTCTAAGCAGATTCTATATATGTATTTATATCCCACCTATTTGTAGACAAGCGTATTGCAACATTTTGGCTGGCGCCGCCTTCTGCATTGGCTTGAAGTATGCGGGCACCGAGAATCCGATCGCATTTACCACACTGCGCGCTGTTATTAAGGAATTCCTGGGCTTTCCGGGCACACCCATGGGCGAGTGTGCCGGCCGCACGACCATCGAGAGCTGTTTGATGGTCCTGCTTATATCCATTTCGCTGGTGTTTGCCGGTTCCGGCAATTGCGAAATTTTGCGCATCATACGCTATCTAAGATCACGCGTTGGACCACAATATCCGCATATAACATACGGCTCCCACATGGCCATACATATGTCGCTGGGTCTGCTCTTTCTGGGCGCCGGCCGTTTCACCATTGCCAAGACACCAGAGTCCATAGCGGCGCTCGTCTGTGCCTTCTTCCCCAAGTTTCCCATACACAGCAACGATAATCGGTGAGTATGCGACTATATCTGCAAGGATCTGGCTAATCCACCGCCTCCTTAGTTACCATTTGCAGGCGCTGCGTCATCTCTATGTGCTGGCCGTAGAGCCTCGCCTGTTCTTGCCGCGCGACATCGACACCCATCAGCTCTGCCTGTGCAACATTTCGGTACTGGAGGTGGGCTCCACCGAGCTGCGCCGCCTGCCCATCGCGCCGTGCATTCTGCCCGAGCTGAGCACACTGCAGCAGGTGATTGTGGATGATGAGAACTATTGGCCCGTGTGCTTTGAGCGTTCACGCAACTGGCATCAGTTGGAAAAGGCATTGGAGCTAAGTGCGCCCATTGACATTAAGAAGCGCACCGGTCGTCTGTCCCATCTGGAAGATCCGGATCGATTGAAGAGCATGCTAGCCCAAACATTGACCATGGAGCAAAGCATTTGCTGGCAAGTGGATGTCAATGATCTACAGCAGTTCGCCAGCGAGCGTCTGGTCAAGCCATTTCTCAGCCGCTTTCTGAACACCAAGGGCACAGAGCTGAGCTATACGGAGCTGAGTAAGCGCCATCAATTGATGCTGCTCTTCTACAATGCGGTAGTCAAGGATCGCATGCATCTGCTGCCCGTTTACCTAACGCTCTACGATGTATGTGTGCGCATTTTTTGTATTTGCTAATCATTTAACTATTCGATTTGGTTGCAGCATGTCACCAAACAGGTGGCCAACAACACTGATATATGGCAGGTGAAGCTTATCGAAGCCTATTTGGGCAAAAGTGGAAGCGAGCATACGTTAATCTCCGTGGAGCTCATACAGATGATGCAGGAGATTGCCAAGCTGCAGCTGGAGCAATGGGCGCGTGAGTTATGTATACCATTGCGTGAATTTCTTACACAAAAGCGTCTGGAGCCGAGCTATATAACCAGCATCTGTGCACAGGATCTGCAGCGTGTCTTCTGTGTTGTTAATTATTTCGATCTGATGCCAAACATGTTGAGCAGTGTCGATCTGAGCAGCGGCCCCATCAACTACCTGCGCATCATAGTCGAGTTCAACAAGCTGCAACTGGGTCCGCAAACCATATTTGGTGTGCTCAAAATATTCCAAGCTTTGTCCACTGAAACTGTGGAGCAACAGCAGCACGAGGTTGCCTTTTAAAAAAACAAAAATCAAATCTGTGCGCCTTCAGTTTTTGTTATCGCACAGCGGCTTTGGCAATTTGTTATCGAATTCGCAAAGTCATAACTAGTTATCGAATATGTTTTTAAAGCCGACCTCAACTAACGCACTTGATGTATTAATTGCAAATTATGGCGCATTGCAACACTGAGATTTACAATTTTAATTGTTTCCCATAAGAAATATAATTATTATAAAAAAAAATATACATACATACATATGTAGTTAATATTTACATACACTTACATATTTATATATATTATATTAGAAAATTGGACCCCTTATATAACCTGAACCCGTTTAATATAGTTTTGTGAAATTGTCTGTAACAGGCAGATAAAAGCAGCTCCGACTCCCATAAAGTTGTGTATTCTTGGTCGAGACGAGCCATGCCTTATCCGTATGTCAGTCTGTAAAAATGCGTCGATCTCGGAGCCTGCAAGAGCTAGAACACAGGGCCTCGCAGTGCGCGCGCCGTAAGAGTTTGTTATCGATCATCGATAGCCAAGAAATCGATTAAAAATCGATATTGAATCCTGTTTTTGTGCAAATCTTTTAGGTTTCAGGAGCTAATCCATCAAATTTGCCGCATGCCTTGTTTTATGGAATACACAGGTCAAGTATATACTTGATTTTTCGGAAAACTCCCAAATCCCTGAGGGCTAATAGGTTGTGTTCTTTATAAAATCTCATCAAGATCGGGACGCAGGTGAAATTAATTTGTTTTTTTTAAGTAACCAATAAAATAGGTAAAAAAAAATTATATTTGTTGGCTTGAAGAAGCGAGCCGTCGCTTCTGTTTCTGGGAGATTTAGGTTCAGGGTATCTTCTGCTGCTGCTGTTTTTGGGAGTTTTGGGTTTAGGGTATCTTCTAGTCGGACACCGCCGACCAGAGCACTCTTACTTGCTTTCAGATAATGCGCTGATGCTCGGCAGCGCTGGGCTCAACAGCTTTGCGCCGACAACAGCGCTGATATAAATAAATGCCCAGTAGAGGCAGCGGCGTCATAATGGCCACGGACACCGGCACCACGGTGGTGAGATCCGCCTGCGGCTGTGGCAATGTGGTGCGCAAAAAGAATATGGCAATGCCCGTATTCTGTATGCCCGTCTCAATGGCAATGGTCAGGGCATCGACAGCGTTCTGATGCAACAGCTTGGACGCCAGCCAGGCGACCGCATAGCCCAATCCGGGCAGCCCCAGGCCGGCAACGGCAATCTATTATTGGGCGATAGTTTAGATGATGGACTGGTATATATGGAAGCAACTCACCTGCCACGAGAACAGCTGGAATAGATAAAAGTTGGTGACGATCGCAAAGATGACAATGAAGAGTATAAGGCATGCGGAGATCGGCTTCAGGAGGCGCACCAACACTTGCGCCAAGCGTGGCAGCCAACGTTGTATGGCCAAACCGATGAGCAGGGGCACAATCAGGCTGGCACAGTAGCTGGCAACCTTGTCGTACGGCACCTCCATGCCCGCCCGCTCGAAGATCAGCTGACCCAGCGTGAATATCCACAACGGCAGGGTGGCAAATGCGGCCACATTGCTGACCGTTGTCATCAGCACGGACAGATTAATGTTGCCGCCAAGCACCGCTGACCAGGTGTTGGAGGCGCCGCCGCTCGGCGCAATGCCCGTAAAGAACAGGCCCAGCTGCATGGCCGGCGAGCCGGGAAAGATGAAGACACCCAGCGCATAGCTAAGCAGCGGCATGCCCAGCACCTGGGTGACAAAGCCAATGCACGGTCCAATCGGACGCGTCACGATGCCCTGCAGCACATCCACATTGAGCGCGGCGCCAAAGTTAATGTACAGCAGCGACATCAGCAGGATTATGGAGCCCACGAAGACATGATCGATGACGCGTTCCGGTCGCACCACCTTCACCAGCAACGAGCTCGCATTGCTGCCGGTATTGTGTGGCGGCGAGCTGCTATTGCTGGCCGCATCGTACAGTCGCACCGTGATCCTTGCCTCGCCTAGAAAGTGGGCATTCACGCGAATGCGTCCTTGCCAGCCGTTGTGCGACACCAGCTCCATGGGTATGCTGGCATTATCGGACGCCACACTGGCCAGCTGTTCGGCGGCGCTCTGCAGGCGGAAACTGTAGCGGCCCGCCTGCTGCAGTTCGTCAGCTATGTCGGACAGTGTTAGCTGCACCTCGTCGCTGCGTTCCATTTCCAGCTGCAGCAGCTCGGGCTCGAGGCGCGCCTGCCAACTGGCGCTGGGCACTGTCTGTTGACTCAGCATCATGGCCACAACCAGAAGCCAGTACGCCATATTCATTTCGGTCCACTAGTAAAAATCTTTTAATATTTCCAATTGCGCAATTAGCAAGCTAACAGATTTAAAACAAACTTACAGCAAAAGCGAAACGTATCTAAGTGCAGCAGCCTACTCTGTTAATGTATTTGTTGTTGCTGTTGTTGTTGTTGAATGCGTGCCAAATAGAGCGAAGCCACAGACACACACACACACACAGAGTCACAGCACAGCACACATAGAGAGAAACGAGTTACATTCGTACAGGTTGTCAATTAACATAGATGCATGTGCGTGTGTGTTTGCATGTAAGTGTATGTACATGTGTTAATTGTGATCTTAACAGCTGTTTTGCCCAATTGCTTTCTTGACGTTATTAACATCTGTTAAGCTTTGGGGAAGTTTAATGTTAAAGCCAGATTGCAAATTACAAAATTTGCTTTAACTGTAATTTTAATAAATGCCTGTTTTAATATGTAAAAACTGTTTTAATACGTAAAAACCTGTAATATTTAAAATATACTACGCCATATTGAGGAAGTTTAATGTTAAAGTCAGATTGCAAAAATATAAAATTTGCTTTAACTGTAATTTTAATGAATGCCTGTTTTAATATGTAAAAACTGTTTTAATACGTAAAAACCTGTAATATTTAAAATATACTACGTCATATTATGAAAATGTGATTTGCCAGTCGATTTTCGTTTTTCAAACCTAACCTCAAAATCGAAATTTTCAAAAACTTAGCAAACTTTTAAATACAATTATTTGAGGTCCCATTCTAAACACAGGACTCAGACGAAACAATAAAAAATAACCCCAAAGGATTTATATGAGAATAACATTTTCAGGAAATAGAACGTTTCTAATTCGCCGTAGAAAATGTACGAATTATCACAAAAGAATTTTGAATGAATGAAAGTTCCTGATGCTAACCCGAAACAGGCTTATCAAATATTTTGTAATGCTCACGTTCTACGTGCATAACCCATTATTTCCGCTTCAATTTACTACAAATCTTACATTGATAAATCATCTTAAGATGCCGGTAAGTAAATATCCTGTTTTCTAATAGTATATTGAATGTGAATGTGAGTAAATTGCAAGTTTTGATTTTATTGAAGGTTACGATAAACTGCGAAAATGACGTTCTCATATATGATTACGTATATAGAAACGTGATCGCACAAAGATTTTAGGGGCTTGTAGTTGTGTATTATGGGGGGATCTTTAGTATCTGTAGTGATCGGGCTTGAAGGGTCCCGTCTGCGGTACGCCCAGGTATTCGGCCTGCTTGTCCGAGAGCTTGGTGAGCTTGACGCCCAGCTTATCCAAATGCAGACTGGCCACCTCCTCGTCGAGCAGCTTGGGCAGCACGTGCACACCGACAGCATACTGGGACGACTTGGTCCACAGCTCAATCTGGGCCAGCACCTGGTTGGTAAACGAATTGGACATGACAAAACTGGGATGGCCATGGGCACAGCCCAAATTGACCAGACGACCCTCGGCGAGCAGAATAATGTGCTTTCCATTGGGCATCGTATAGCGATCCACCTGCGGCTTAACATTCACCTTCTCCTTGGCATTGCTGTTCAGCCAGTCGACATCGATCTCGCAATCAAAGTGGCCAATGTTGCACACAATGGCATCATCGGGCATGTTAAGCAGATGCACTGAGGTGATTATGTCACGGCAGCCGGTTGTGGTCACATAGATGGAAGCCTCCTTGCTAGCCTCCTCCATTGTGGTCACCTCATAGCCCTCCATAGCCGCCTGCAGCGCATTAATCGGATCGATTTCGGTGATGATAACGCGACCGCCAAAGCCCTTCAAGGCCTGGGCACAACCCTTGCCAACATCACCATAGCCAGCCACACAGCAGACCTTGCCGGCGATCATAACATCTGTGGCACGCTTGATGCCATCAATCAGCGACTCCCGGCAGCCATATAAATTATCGAATTTGCTCTAAAAGATGATAATCGAGATGTAAAACCGAACGAGAGAGTGCTTGTTGGCGACTCACCTTGGTCACGGAATCGTTGACATTGATGGCGGGCACGCCCAGGCGACCATCCTTGAACATCTTGTACAGATTGTGGACACCGGTCGTTGTCTCCTCGCTGATTCCCTTGATGCCCTTCAAATAATCGGGGAAACGTTCATGCACCAAATTGGTCAGATCGCCGCCATCGTCCAGGATCATATTGAGTGGCTGGCCATCGGGAAAGACCAGTGTCTGTTCAATGCACCACATGTACTCCTCGTCGGTTTCACCCTTCCAAGCGTAGACGGGCACTCCAGTGGCTGCAATGGCAGCCGCAGCATGATCCTGTGTGCTGAATATGTTGCAGCTAGACCATTGGACCTGTGTGGGCACAAAATCGGTACAGATAATTTAGAACATTTAGAATATTTGACAGGCTTGGAGCAATGCTGACTTTAGTCAGGATCCTCTTGGTCCGATCCGGTTAACAAATATTCATAAGGGATCGACAAAATAGAAGCCAGGTCCTTAAAGATTTGTCTGTTGCTGATGCTGATCAGGAATATATACGTATGCATATAAATATATTTACTTAGTGGGATCGGATATGCCTCTCTTAGTACGCTTTAGATTTTGTGATGAAATTAATTTACATGTGGAAAAGATTAGGATGTAAACAATGGGTTCTTGTGATGGCCCCACTGACCCTCAGAGATTACAATTTTGTTTGTTATCGGTGCGCCTTGAACTCACGCGCGACCCCCAAGCGTGAAAAATAGAATTTTCGGCGCGTTTTTTGGAATTTGGTTTTTTGTTTTTTTGTTTTGTAGTAAGCAGAAAAGATAAGGATAAGCGCACATGGCGAAAGCTGTCAAGGGAATTGCTTACCTCGGCGCCAAGCTCGACCAGCGTCTCGATGAGCACCGCCGTCTGTACGGTCATGTGCAGGCAGCCGGTGATGCGAGCGCCCTTCAGGATCTTCGATGGGCCGTACTTCTTGCGGCACGCCATCAGGCCGGGCATCTCGTTCTCCGCAATGATGATCGCCTTGCGTCCCCATTCGGCGAGATTGATATCGGCTGCCACCGGGAGAGATAAGATATATACGTTTCATAGAAAATATAAACAACGGGCACGGCAACAATGTGCTTTAACCTCTGGAAACGTGTGCGCATGCATATGTGTGTGTGCGTACCTGCCTTTTGCCGGCATTACTAGGCAGATATGTAGCGCACAGATGATGCGCAGATTTTAATTTTATTTTTAACTCACCAACTTTGTAAGTAGGCTTGGACATCTTGCTAGGATTCAGAATAATTCAGAGAGACACACACGACCGAATTGACGACGCGCGCAACGTTTAGTGGCGAAAATAGAACTTTTAAGATCGTAAGAAATAAATCGAGTTATCGATTTGAGCACTGCATCGATATATTCATACATTAACTAACATTAGAACAGTGCTGCCAATCATCGATAATTTAACTGGACTAAATATTTTGCAATTAAAAATTTAAATGTTTATTTTTTTTTTTTTGTAATTTAATTTATATGATTAATCTATGTTTAATATGTAGCAATTTTTATGTCACTCTGCCCGGTTATTTTCCTGTCCATGTTAAAGACTGTTGTGTGTCTGCCAAAAATACAATACACATCTGCTATATGTTTACATGGGTATTTTAATGCACATGCACTACATTTTTACAGACAGCGACAATGTTGTTAGTTTCGAAACTTTGTTTTACCGATAGTAGGCCATTTGCAGTCACTGTGAAGCGGATTAGCCTAGCTCATCTCTAGTTGTCGTTTACGTGCACTACAACAAAAACTTTAGCGAGCAGGATTTTTGAAGCAATTGAAGCAACTCTAAGCTTTTGATAAAGAAAACTAAATATATTTTTAAAAATGGCCAGCGGAGCTGATGTAAGCATAACTCAGTCATTTGGTTGCCAATGCTAACAGCAACCGTTCGATTCATTACAGCAGAACGCTCCAGCTGGTGACAGTCAGGACGACAACATCGTGAACGAGCAGCCAATTGAAATAAGCTCCGACAGCAACGAGGAAAGCGGCAGTGGAGCTGAATCAGATACGGAGAGTGAAGTTAGTGTATTGAGCTCGCTGGGCGACACCAGCGATTCGCATGATGAGCAAAAGATGGAGGATGAATTTGCGGCCATATTGGCCAGGCCAGCAAAGAAATATAAACATTATATGGATCTGTGTACGACAGCATTGTGGGTATTCGTGCATTCTGTGATTTGTGCTGAAACTAACTAATCTTTGGCTCCACTTGCAGCAAATTGAATGTCTTTGATAAGATTGAGGTGGCCATCAATGAATTCCAAAAATATACCACCATACCACCGCATATATGGCTTCGTTATCTCAAAACACTAAAGGTGGTCACCCAGACGCCGGCGGAGCGCGCGGTTTTTGAAACGAAATGCGCCTCCGCGCTGAGCAGTTTCTATGGTAACAATCTATTCTATTATTTTGATGAAATTGGTTATTGCTTGCCTTCACTGCATTATTGAGCAAATATTCTCCAAGTCCGCTCTAGTTGAGCAAGTTTCATTCTACTGTCTCTCGGACAGCTAACCAGCATGCGCTCTGGCGTCTTGTCGAGGCAGCGACTGCAGAGTGCGTCTTGAGCTTGTGCAGCTGCTCCCGCTGCCTGTAATGCTCTGTAAGAAAGCCTGTAATGATCCGAAGATGGTGCAGTCGTTTGCTCTGGGACTCCCTTCCTAGCTAATTTGTCTGCAATCCGGAAATGATTGTGACCAGTGGTCCTGAAGCTATCTCCGTCGAGTTTCTTAAGCTGCTAAGTTAACTTTAATTTGTTTTCACTTTACTTAACAGATGAACAGCTTGCTGATTTTGTTGTAAAAAGCTTATTGGAACAGCCGCTCATGGAGCAGCACCCGATGTGGTCAAAATTGCTGGCTGATTATGGACTGGAGCGTGTCGATTTTGTCGAACAAGTGCGCAAATTGCTCAGCTCCATGTCGGAGAAGGAGGACGTTGAGCTAATTGAGAAAACAATGAGCGCCAAGTGCGTCACATGGAACTGCAACGACGAGCAGTTGCAGTCAATCTCCAATTTAATTAATGATTTCAAGCAGAAGTTGAAGGCCAGCACAGAGAACTCATCCTGGCTGCAGGAGAATTTCATACTGAAAGTGGACGCCTTGTCGCTCGGCATTAATATCAAATGCAGCTTGGTCAAATTGATTTACGAACGTTGCCTGGCCAAATATCCCACTGATAGTCGCCTCTGGTTGGACTATATTGCATATATGGAAAAACCTATAGAATCGGGAAATAGAGCCTTGCATCACACCAGTGTCAATGATGGTTATCTTAAATGCAAGCCCTTGGATCTGATTAACCGTGTGCTTCAGTTGAAACCGACTATGGCGCTCAATCATAAGTATTTGGAATTGATGGAGCAACACAATCTCAGCCAGGAGCAAGTGGATGTTGAGATAACCCGGCACCTAGAGCGCTTGGAGCCGTACATGGAAATGAATGTAGAGCTGCAGTTGGACTACTTGGCATATCGCGTGCGCCACACCGAGGTTGATGATGAGCAACAGGTATCCAGCTGAAGAATAGACAATACATTTAAGACATATGACTTAAGTTCAATCTTTGACAGGTCAAGAAGCTGCGTGCCGCATTTCGTCAGGTGTGGGATCGTCTCTCCGATCTATACGGCGACCAGGCAGACACGAGCTACGAGGTGCTCCAGTTGTGGGCACAGGTCGAGTATGCAAAGCTGCACAGTCCCGATAATGGCGCCTCCATCTGGTGTGAGATACTAAGTGAGTACCTTAAATCCCTTCCGGTGGACAATGTGTTGATTCTCAGTCAGGCAGGAGAAATTCTTGTCGATTCAGATAGATGTATGTGTTTAAACCATTTCCTTTTCATAGATTATCCCGGCAGCAGCGTCAAGAGCCACCTGTGGCTGGCCTATGCCCAAATGGAAAGCGAATACAATAGTGGGCGCAAGATGACAACAGTGCTGCGCCAGGCTTTATCGGCACTGTCGATGACACCGGACGTCCATGTCATTGCGGAGCTGTATCGTCGCAACGAGCGTTGTTTTGGCAGCTATCAAACAATATCCGATTGCCAGGCATACTGCGAAGCATACATGCAGGTGCACAACAAGGTAGAAACTTATCGGCAGCCGTCCACATGGCGTGGACAAGCAGATAGAAAGCAAATGGGAAACCAAAAGCCTGTCAAAAGGCCGAGCGCACCGTTGCCAAGAAAACAGGTGCCGGCAGCCAAGAAAGTAATGCCGCCAGGGCCACCATCCAAAGAGCCGAACTTTAAGTATTCACGTGAGTTGCACAAGTGCCAAAATACAAGAACGAATCTATCTAACTATCAATTCTCAATTGCAGCGAATATGGAAGTCAATAAGATATTTATAAAGAACTTATATCCACGTTGCACCAAAGACGATCTGTCCGATGCATTCAAATGCTTTGGCAACATCAAGGATGTGCGTTTGGTATACAAACAGTAAGTGAGACGGCGATATAAAACACAAAATCAATTTTTAATATGCTATATCCTACGCCAGCGGCAATCAAAGATTCAAGGGCATCGCGTACATTGAGTTCGAAAAACCGGAGGAGGCACAAAACGCGGTCATCTGTGGCGATGGACTCTGTCTTGGCGGGCAAAACGTAAGACGTTTCCTTAAACGACAAATACGTAATAAAAGCAACTGTTTTTTTTGTTTTCGTTTAGATTGAGGTGGCCATTTCGAATCCGCCGCCGAAACCAGCCGCAGGGGCAAGTACATCCACAGCGTCAGCTGCTGGCCAAAGGAAGCCACTGAAGCGTCGCATCCAAACGACACTGATACCAACAAGGCTGGTTATAAATGAGGTAAAGCGGCGCAAGAAGCTCGAACTGGATATGGACGAAGATGCAGCTGTTAGCAGCACAATGGACGCCAATGGCAAAGCCAACAATGCAAATGGCAATGACGATGCTAATGATAATGCCAATGATAAAGATAATGCCGGTGAGAAAGCCGACGAATCGGAAAAGTCAGATCCGCCACCGCCGACTGTTCCAAAATCCAACGATGACTTTCGCAAGCTCTTTAATATTTAAGCTAAACATACGCAATTGAAAATTGAAGATTGCAAAAGTATCTCGTATGGATATGGTCGTTTTTAGTATAACATTTATGCTAAGTTATCTATAAGAAGTTCCTTAACCCAAAAACTAAAAACACGCACTCACACACACACACACACACACACACAGATACACACTAACGGCAGAAAACTTAGGAGCACTACATGTAATGTTTATATAGATTGTGCATATGTTATATATTATATCCATCAAAAAGGAAAGATGTATATTTAGAACATAAACAAAAACAATTCATTTTGGCATCTAGAGATACTTCAATATGTGCATGTATACATATATATATATATATATATATGGACAGAGTTATGTATACGTACATATAAATATTTGTATATTGATGTTATGTAATGCAACAGGCGACCTTGTGACCCTACTGAATAAATCTTATGACCACAAAAAAGAAAACTAGAAAACGAGCCTTTTATCTTTAATGTGGGCCCATTAGTAATCTATCTGTTGTATGTTGTGACCCAAGCTGTGGGACGGACTCGAATACAGCTACTAAATGTCCAGTCATAAGCTTAAGCAGCAAAAAATTGCATTCAATCCCCATGGACTCCTTTTACACTATGTGAACAGGGTATAGGAACCTTTAAAACGTTTACTCTTTGCTCGCATTAGACGTGTACAGCATACTATTATGCTCAAGCACACGGACAGGGCACACAGACACTGGCGCTCGTTAGCCCAACTGCAGGGCGTTGAGCGCACACTAATACATGCGCATTTTGGCAATACACGCGCAAATCAAAGTCAAAACTTGTGTAGAAAACAAAATTTAGTATAAAGTTTAAGGCGCCTACATACATGTTATATACACTAGGACTAAATGGACTACGTTTTAAATTTGACACTTTTGGTGACGGTGGCTTTAATGCCGGATGCTTCGCCGCCGTAGCGTTTCACTTCTGTGCGTACGCTGCGCACTGCACCCTTACGGCGGATGAGCGCCTTGCGGTATTTGCCGCGATGCTTGACGCGCGGATTGCGCAACTCCTTTTTGCGATGCGGCGTTAGACCCTTATTCTTGGCCATTTGATAGGTGATGCCGCGTCGTTCATTCTCTTCGTCATCTTCCTGCTCCTCGTCGGCCAGATCTGGCAGTTGCTTCTCGTCGTCGTCGTCATTATCATCATCAGTATTGTCATTATCGTCAGCATCCTTGTCAGCATGCCCATTCTTCTGCAGCTTGGTTTCATTGTACTTTTCGAGTATCTGTAGCTTGGCCTTGCGCTGCGCCACATCCAGTACGGTGAATGTATCGCCATCCTGAATGCGCTCCAGCAGCGCCTCCAGCTGTGGGCGTATGTACTCCTCGTAGCGTGGGGCCAGCTGGTCGCGAAGCTGCTTGAGCTGCACAAGGCGTTTGACCACCGGGTGATATTTGATGCTGCAGCGTTTGGCCTTTAGCAGCAAATAGAACGACACGTTCGAACAGTGGGTTAGCAGCACGTTCTGGTAGAGAGTGGCGAACTGCAGAGCCGGGACCATGGGCACCTGATGATTGCGCACATAGTTTAGAACGGGCGACGTCAGTTGCTGCACTTCGCTCAGCTGCTGCCGAAAGTCCTGGGTGAGGCCCATGAATTCGGGTGAATCTTTTTGCAGCAGCTGCAGACGTTCGCGCTCCGTAAGCCCCTTCAGATCTGTGGGCACTTTGATGCTTTTTATGGCCACCTCGTTATCGTCGTCACTTGCATCAGCTGGCTCGCCCATGTCGTCTAGCTGAAAGTCAGCCTCGGTCAGTTGCTTGGCCAAACGCAACTGAATCTTTTTGGCCTCCTCCTCCTCGGCCAAGGCCAGATCTTCCTCCTGAGCGGTGTAGCTGCTGTAGTCGGGATCGACGAAATCGGTATTGTAGTAGGTTCGCTTGTTGCTGCCCCAGTCCATGGTGTCGGGCAGATCGCCATCGTCGTCCTCGGCACCTTCAATATCGCTGTCGCGCATCAGTTCGCCCACAACGTCCTCGTCTTCATCATCATCATCATCGCTGTCACTAAATGATAGAATATCCTGTTTTTGATTTTTCTGCTCGGCGCGTTTCTTGCGCTCTTTACGCAAATCACTCAATATCTCGCGCTCATCCTCATCGTACTCCTGTTCCGAATCGGTGGGCTCATAATCATCCGCCTCGCTATCCATTTTTTTTTTTTAGTATTTTTGAAACTATTCGGCCACTAACACGTGCCGTAAACAAATGTCCGCCGTAGGGATGAGCGAAATTGACGTCAGTCACTAAACATCGCAAAAAACTGTGATTAAATCGACAGGCCGAATACAGGTATCGATATGTAATGTATCGAAAAATGTATATTTACTTGAAGACTCAAAATTAGCCGCGATTTTTGAAAGAAATATGCAGAATCATTCGCAACAATATGCTTTATATTGTATAGAAATTTCATATCCACATTTTATATGTTTTTTTTTATAATATTCAGTTTTTACTTAACTTCAAGGTGAAAGTCATTGCGCATTCCAGTTAGCTTTTAAAATGTAAAATATAAAATTATATACATGATATACAAAATAAACCTGTGTAGTGATCTATTAAGCAGAAACGCAGTGACTAGTTACTTGGTATCGTTGCATGCACTAAAACGAGCGTTGCCATCTTGTTGGTGTAGTGCTGCCACCCTTGGAAGCGAAGGCTTTTACAGTTATTTTTTTGTCTTTGGTGTATGTGTAAGTGCGTGTGCTGCCTTAGGAAACGAGGCGAAGACATTTATTAAATCATGGATATTCAAGATAATATGGAGTGCTCAGCGGAAGGTGAACAATTGAAAAGTGAGCTGGATTCCAAAATGGCAGCATCTAATTCAAAGGTAAGTTATGTGCAAAACCCGTCCGTGCATGATCGGAGACTTTCCAACTGGCGTAAATCTTTACCCAGATCTAAGTTAATATTTTATATTATATATAAGGTATTACACATGAAACAAGCTGCACCCTTGAGACAGCGGCTAAGCCTTTTCTTCTTCCAGAGTCCTGTCAAATTCGAACATAACCTTTCTTTTTTTTTTTTATATCCCAAGCAATTTTGTATGTAGAAAGAAATAGAGAAATCGGAGCGTTCGCAAAGGGACACTCCATATTTATTCTCGTTCAATAGTATATACGTACTTGTAATTCTTAGTATGCACCGAATATATATATTTTACAGTCTGACGGAGAACATCTTGTGAGCGCTGCTGTACTAGCTCGCCAATTAAAGGCTGGCACTCCTCTTGTAAAACTATGCCAGGATCCAAAGAATGGAAATGAGGCACTTGGCGCGGTTTCAGCAAAACGCCTCAAAAGTGGGCAGACATCATCGTCAGATAGTGGCGATCAGACTGAGCGCAAATATATTGAGCTATTGCCGCAAACCGTAAGGAAATACAATCATCTAGAGGCGTGGCTAGGCACATTGGATTACCGCACCGTAAAGCCGGTGATGATGATGATGAGTGCGGATGAAAATATGCAGGAGTCAGGCGAGTCCGGCTGCGTTGACAGCGAGTCTAATGTAGCTCAGCGTTTGGCCCAAGAGCTGTGGGCCATCGATAGCGACGAGGAAGAGCCGGAACAGATGACAGACTGCACAAATCCATTTCGTTTTCCCCTAACAGACAATCAGCAGGCGGAGCAGATCCTAAACACCGAAAACCTGAGCGCTGAGCGCCAGATGAACAACTTTATACAACTTATTCAATCGCGCGCGGCTGTGCCGGAATATGCGCTGGTAGGTAACGCCGCCCAACCAGCTCTAACCATATTAAACGACTGTTTTCCAATATAAGTCAGATGCCATCTACTGCGTGGACAAGCCCAAGGAAGCCGCTGCCCTAGGCGCTGAGCTGCCCCTAGTGCCGATATCGGAGAGCTTTAAGATTGGAGATGTGCTCAAGCTTTTTGTATCCGAGGTGTGTGTCTGTGGAAACCATTTACACATATAAACCCAAAGGGTAAAGGTTAAAGTTCCTCATGCGGATGAGAAAGGATTTTATGCGGAAGCGTCATTTTGTTTGTTGTCCGATTTGATGCGGCCATTGCACATGTCGTTTGAAAATAATGAAGTCTGTATTGCTGAGTTTGACCAAGGTTTTGCTTCATTCTTCTCAAGGCAGCCAATGCAAAGTGTCATGACGATAGAGATATGGAAACTTATACGGTTGGACAGTTCTATATGGACTCGGTTGTTGATGCCGATCAAGAATATATATATATAGTATGGCGGTCAGCTATTGTATCGATATTGTGCATTGAAAAGATGGCTTCGACTTATGTGTCAATTTAGATTTTGTTTGCATTTTCGATCAAACATATTTCCAGTTAGTCTCTGTGAGTTATTCGACTTGGAACAGACTGTGCGGTTGTCCTTAAAGATTTCAGCGAGGTTTTGTTAAATCGAATAGCATATCTATTGGATTTCACAAATTCTCGCTGAAATGTTTAAGCACAACCGCAATTTAAAAAAGATAAGGAATATAAATTTTCAATCAATTTAGCAAATTCTCCGAGGTGAGTCTCTGTGCATTTATATTACACCGATCTCACGCATTGAAGTGTATACTTTGTTCATCGGGATGACGAGCTTAGTCCGTCCGTTTGATTCTATCTCTCGACTATAACATAAAGATGTCATAGAATCATTTTTTGATTTCAAATCGAAACTGCATCGCTTCTATATATATATAGCTAGCTTCCTTGGAAACAATTGCTTTTCGCAAGTTATGAAAGAGGCTCTTTTGTGCCTGAGTCTGTCAAAGTGAGCAGGAGTTGCACGAGCTCCCTGATGAAGGGAAGTATTACCCTGATCAGAGGTGGGAAGGCAAACTCTTTGCCCAAATGCTTTCTCTTGGTTGATTTGTCTTCCTTCCAGCAGAGGCTTTGTGGCTATGATATTTGATTGCGAGGTGTCCTATCCGGTAGCTTGTCTTCCTTAGCTTGTAGGAGCAAGGAATGCTCGAATACCAGAGTTTATCAGAACCAATTAGAGGGAAACCCGCCTGGACTCTTGCCAGCTCGTCCGTTGCTTCGTTGCCAAAGATATGCCGAAGAGAAGCAATCTTTCTTGTTTTCGCCTAACGTGTTTTCGGTTTCTTTGGACAGGTCTACAGTCCGTTTCAGTTCTGGTTTCATGTTGTTGACGGCGACTATGACATGCATATGCTGGAACAGCTAAATCACCAGATAACGTAAGCAATTTACACCGGGCGGAGCACTCAGTATGCACTTGGCTCAAATTCTCGATTCAATCCATGTTGGGTGCTGCAAGTGTCTGAATCGTGTCGTATATTATTGGAATATGAAATGCCCTGCTACTTCTAATATCGCCTCTCTCCGTGCAGCACTTTTTATTCCACGCTGCGCGACACTGACTGGCAGCTGCCGAGCTACTTTATGAAGCCCGGATATATGTGCGCTGTGCTGCATGAATTTGCTTGGCGTCGCGGACGCATTGTCAGCGAACCCTTGGCTGACGCTGACAATGTATCTGTTTATTTGCTGGACTATGGCAAGGGAGTGAATGTTCAACACAAGGAATTGTACTTTCTGCACGGCACCTTTAAAGAGCAGCCGGCTTTCTTGATGCGCGGCACACTGACCGATGTGTATCCGTTGGATTTGCATTGGCCCGAAAATGCGACATCGAAGTTTAAGCAGCTGGTGCATGCACGTGAGCTGCATGCCGTTATCAAGGATATTGATATTCAAGATCGCATACTCTTTGTAAATCTGTTCAACAAGAGCAGCTCGGAGACGACGACCATTAGCGATTTGTTAATCGAGGCCAAAATGGCCGGGCGCAGTCACAATTATAGCGCCGAGTTGCGTGCCGCCAATTGTGGTCGTCGCTTGCGCTATCTGCGCGAGCGCCTGCCCACGTGAGTGCCCCTGCGGTCAACCCATTGGAAATACATAAGTATGCACACAATTTAATTTGCTTACAGCTTTGATATGCTCGAGACGCAGGTGTTTCCCACGGCCACCGATGACTTTGAGGAAAAGTTCGATAATATCATCTATATGCCGACATTCTTTCAGCAATTTCAGCCGCCACAGCTGACAAATCCGTTTCTACGTGACCTGCAAGAGGCGCTGGCCAACTGGCTGGTCAAATTCCAGCCCGAGGAGATGGCTTGGCGCAAGCTGAACAAAGAGGCGCACAAAAAGCTAAAACAGGAGCAACAGAAACGTCTGCAACAGTTCTTAACCGAGCATCCCAACTTTTTTAATGAGCTGGCAGCCTAATTATTCAAGCGCAACAAATCAAAATGTGATTGCTTACATAGAGCTCATATATGTTTCATCTAATCTCTATATAAGCATCTAATATGGTGCACTATCGACTTGACAGAACTCTAAATTATATCTATTGTAAACAGCCCGTTAATGGGCTTGTCTTTCCAACTGACAACTGACAAACATATATTTAAAAAACTAACAACACGTGATCATATGTCAGACATGACATACCCATGCTAAGCATGGGTAATGATTTTTTTGACCATTTTTTCGAATATAGAACATATGTATATATTAATATGTATGTATATATGTTTGCATGTGCAATTGATTTGCACCAAAATAAAACCCGAATATAAACGGACAGTTTGAGACTGAATTTTTCAACAGACATCAATTTTAACAATTATATTGTCCATATTCCAAATATTGCTTACATACAAATAAAAAGGTAAACAAAATATTGATGAAATCCTTGTATGCATGTAAATCATAGTACATTCATATATGTGTCTTGTCACGTTGAGATGTTGCTTTCGCTTTTTATACCCTTGCAGAGGGTATTATAATTTTGTCGTGAAATGTATAACGCATAGAAGGAGACATCTCCGACCCCATAAAGTATATATATTCTTGATCAGCATCAACAGCCAAGTCGATAGAGCCATGTCCGTCTGTCCGTTTGTCTGTTTCTATGCGAACTAGTCTCAGTTTTAAAGCTATCTTAATAAAACTTTGCAGAAGTCCCTCTTTCTGTTGCACGCAGCACATATTTTAAAACCAGCTGGATCGGACTACTATATCATATAGCTGCCATAGGAACGATCGGTCGAAAATTATTAACATTTTGTTTATCAAGATATCTTGACCAAACTCGGCATTAACTATTTTCCCTGTGCTTCTTAGATACGGACAAAGCACTATAAGCATTATGAAAGGGTTGGGTCTGCAAGGGTATTAGATCTTCGGCGTGCCGAAGATAGCCTTTCTTTCTCGTTATACCCTGAACCCATTGAAAATGGCTAAAAAGGGTATAATGTATTTGTGCAAATGTATGTAACAGGCAGAAGGTAGCATCTTCGACCCCATAAAGTATATATTTTCTTGATCAGCATCAACAGTCGAGTCGATCTAGCCATGTCCGTCTGTCTGTCCGTCCGTCCGTCCGTCCGTATGTATGAACGCAAGGATCTCAGAACCTATAAGAGCTAGGGACTTGAAATTTTTGGTGTAGGTCCTCCTAGTGCCCGCGCAGATAGAGTTTGTTTCCGATAATCGATAACTTCTTCGAAATCCTGTTCCTTGAGCAATTTTGGTAAATAATAAGAGCTAGGAGGTAACAAACTTGACTAGAATAGTACATATGTGCATTTGGAGTTGGAAGAAGAGGGTTCAGGGTCGGGGGCTCCCGACTAGAACCTCTTACTTGTTTTTATTTGGCAATTCTAAGACTGTAATCCTGTAAACCTGAAGCTAAAGTGTAATCCCGATAAAGATTGAGAGAGCAGTGCTATAATAATAATAGTATCATATTGTGTCTAAGTCGAAGTCGGGCATTCTAGCGGGTATCAAATATTGCAAGCTTAATATACTCCTTTTCACCTCGCGAACAGAGTAATATAAATGCCAAGCATATGAAAATAATAGAGAAAATAGAATGATGTTTCTTGAGTTAGTTTCAAATGTGATATTAGGCTGTGTCCGAATTTAAAAGAGTTACATCAAATACATATAATAAAATGCTTAATTTATGGTTAAGTAGCGACGCCTGCGCCGCCGTCAATTCGCGCTCATTCAGATTCGCACATTTCGGCCATCAGGTGGGCCAGTTTGTGCTCGTCGGCGCCAACGATTTTGGCCACGTTGTGGTTGCTCTTGAGGAAGACAAATGTTGGCATGCTGCGCACCCTGTATTCGTCGACAAGTTCGTCAAATTTATCGACGTTCACTTTGATGATTATCGCCTGGCTGGCGTATTTATATTCGAGAGTTTGCACCAACTGGTCAATGTCCTGGCAGGGCTTGCTGTTCCTCGCATAAAAGTCCAGCACGACAACCTTATTTTTGGCCGCCACGAGGCGTTTATTGAATCCACTAACGGTGCGAACGGTGGGCATATTTTTGAACACTTTGTATTAAAACGAAAAATTGGATTTATTTTCAGATGGCTGTCGAAGTATTTTCTGCTGGATGCAGCGTACGTTCAGGCTGGAAGTAAATGTAACTACACAGTTACATGCATATAAATGCATTAGATAAAACAAACGGTACTCATCCAGCGCTTGAGCGTTGCCACCCGTCGTATAAATACCCTATCGACTGGCGATATGCGCAGTGCGCACGTGCGCCGCTTACGACTATTTGAAATATTTTGCTAAAGGCGATTTGCTTTTGCTTATAGTTTTCCTTTCGACTTTAAATTTATTTTACAAATAAATATTATGAAATTCTTAACTAATACAACTTAAAGCAAATGGATCATATCGTGCCCATATATATAGCCCATATACGGTCTATATATAGGGTATACGCGTATATCATACTGTGTTGCATACAATTTTCTGCATTTAGTCGTCGATTGTTCGTAGATGTGTTTTTTTTTTTTTTTTTTTTTTTTTTTTGAAGGGTGTAGGGCGTTTTACAATACGCATTAGGCGTATTTTGTTTCTCCAGTCGGCTGGCTTGACATTTAAAAATATATACATATATATAACCATTGCATCCGCGGGCCCAATAAAACATCTTGTTATTATTTAGAGCAGGAACTGTGTGTTTGCCTGCAATTAAATAAAAAATCAGTTTAACATGCAATCAAAAAATATAAATATATTTAATAATTCATAATGATTGCATACAAAAACTTGATTATCGCCCAATAAACTTAATTGACAGATATGATATAGGGATCAGATCCATCCGGTTTCGTCTTATGAAATGCCTGTAATAAGAAATAAGAAGAAAATACATTAATTAAAAGTTAATTGTCAAATTTACAACTCTATTGTTAGTGTGATCCTCAGAACTATTAGGTCTTGAATATACCCATTTTGTTTATGAGCATTTTCCCTTTATATTAAGTCTCTTCACTTAGTTAAATGTTTTTCGATTCTGTCCTATTTGTTGTCTGTCAGCCCCCGTCCAGTATATTTATATAGTTTAAAATTCCATAGAAAATGTTTTACTTTATTTTGGAATTTCCATAACTTTTACAATCCAAATGAATTTGTTTTTAATTTTTGATGAGTTTATCATTGAAATTTATTGTTCTAAAATTGAATACAAATGTACGCGTAAATAGAAATGCATTTTGTTTTTATTTTTAGAATAAATTAAAGTACAATACATTATGTTAAACATAAATTTGCTGTTCTTATACAATTTAAAAAAAGTATATATTGTTATATTATTTCCTTAAAAACTATCATGATGAATTTGTATATATATATATTATTTGTCAATGATTCATACATTAAGCCCGGCTATAGGGTATTTGTTAGTCGACTTGTTAATCGTTTGCCTATATTGTGGTGAGTCGTGCGTGACACGAGCGCGTGTCACGCGCCTGACCAAAACATAAATGAGCAATGGAATAGATACAATTGGATGGAATGATATACATATATATTTGATGGTTGACTGGAAGCACTTACTCTGACAATCCACGATGTTATCGGAGCTTGCTGATGGTGTTATATGGGCCTCTTTTTATGGGACAGACATTTTGTCGTTTAAGCTATTGACCAAATGCTTGATGAATGCAATGTGCATGCATTGTTGGCAACTGTCCCTCATTGTCCAGCTCCATGATCTGCATCAAGTCCTCTTGCATTAACGATGGTCCCCTGATACTTTGGTAGTTATCTGTGGCTCCCGTTCCCGTTGGTGAGCTGTTGTTGTTGTTGTTGTTGTGGTTATAGTAACTGTTATTAATATTCATATTATTATTGTTGTTGTTGTTGCTGTTATCGATGTTATTGCTGTTGTTGTTGTTGTTGCCCAATTCATCGCCGCCAATGGGCAACTGTCCGGCTGGCAATTCACTGGAAGCCAACAACGGTCGATCGTGCATAACCTTAATCCAGGGCAACGTTAGCTGAATGCGATGCCAGCGCTGCGAGGCGCGATCCGACTTCGTTTCGTGCAGCATTATGTTCGAGCGCGCCGCTGCCAATGGCGGCTGGCTGGCGTCCGTTATGGTGGCAGCCATTGCCGTTGTTACATCGGCCAATCTGAGCGCATTCTGGCTCGTTGTGGGCACATCGTCGTTGCGCATCATATCCGGCTCCGTTGGCGGCAGCATTGCCGTCTGCATCTCTGTTTCCGAATCAACGATGATGTTGTTGCTTTTGTTGCTTTTGTTGTTGTTGTTGTTGTTGTTGCTGCTGTTGTTGTTGACAATATTGTTGCTGGTGGAGCTGGGCGAGAAATGGGCAACAGTCAACGGCTGCTCTCTATGATCCAGCTGCATCTGCAGCTGCTGCCGCTGCTGCAGCTGCTGCTGCTGCTGCAGCTGATCCGTTTCGTCCGTCAGCGTATCGGTTGCCGATAAACAATTCATGACACGATGCGCGGCAGCCAATTGGCTGCGCATCATATTGTTGCTGGAGCGCGAGTTGCCGTATTGCAAACGCTGCTGCAGCATTGCCCGCTTCATTAGATCCGGATGCAATTGATTGTGGCTGGATGTGCTCTGCGGCAGCTGGGCCGCCTGATGATGGCTGGTATCTAGCATTATTGATGTCGCCGCCGAATCACCGGTAACCAGGCGACGCTGGCGTCTCTGCACGATGCGCTCAATGTTGGAGCGCGATTGGGCATTGCCGTAGCTGATGCGACGGGCGGCGCGTTGGCGTCGCTCCTGCGCCTCGCGTCGGGCATCGTCAACGGCGCGCATTTTGGCCGTTAGCCGGAGTTCGCTGCGCAAATAGAAACCGGCGCCGCTTTCGGCCATTTGGGCATTGCGTCGGGATATCTCCTGGCCCAGCTCACGGGCACGCTCCAGCGCCTCGAGTCGCTCCCGCCGCTGCTGGGCCTGTATGGCCTCCGGCGTCAAATGCACCAGCGTTGTATGCCTGCGCTGGGCATTCGATGTGCTCGGCGACTCGTTAATATCCTCAATTTCACGGAACAGACGCTTCAGTCGCACCTGACGCATCTTCAGCTCGATGGTGCGATCGTTAAACTCCTGTATCCGTTCATATTCCTCGCGCAGGCGCTGCAGTTGCCCGTTGCGACGGCTGTTGTTGAACATGCGCCGGAAATAGGGTGTACGCTTTATTTGATAGGACATGCTGCTGCTACTCCTCCTCCTCCTCCTCCACCTTAATCGGCTGAATCGGCTGATTTCACCACGAATTCTCAACAACGAATTTTGGTTACCAAAGTGTCGCGACAATTAGACGAGGAGATTTTCTTTTTGTTTTTTTTTCGCTTTTTGTTGCACTTGAAAATTTTGTACGCTACCTAAAAAAAAAAAAAAAGGATTGTTTGTTGAATGTTGCTGTGACGAAAATGATTTTTATTTGATTCCTCTGGACGATATTAAAATCTGAAAATTGAAGTCAAACGCCAGGAACGCCATTCGCCTGCTGCGATTGCTGCCGTTACACAGATCAAGCCAAACAATTCTCTTATTTCTCTTTGTCATTTTTTATTATTAATTTATAATCGTTTCTAACCTTAAAAGCTATCACAGAAGCATGCTTCTAAGGCAAAAAAAAACAGAAACATTTTCAAATTTGAGGTTATTTTTGCATTGGAAATTACATAAATTGTTTGCCGTCACAGTTACAGTTACACTTACAGTTACAGTTACAGTTACAGTTAAGCAATACATATATTAAAATGTTAAATTTACGGTTAGGTAGCGACGCCTGCGCCGCGCCGCCTTCAATTCGCGCTCATTTGCATACTTTGGCCATCATGCGGGTCAGTTTGTGCTCGTCGGCGCCAACGATTTTGCCCAAGCTGCGGTTGCTCTTGAGGAATACAAATGTTGGCATGCTGCGCACCTTGTACTTTTCCACCAGCTCCTCAAATTTGTCGACGTTGACTTTGATAACGATCGCCTTGCTGGCGTATTGGCGTGCCAGGGATTTGACCATTGGGTCCATTTCTTTGCAGGGACCGCACCAGGTGGCATAGAAGTCCAGCAGGACAACTTTGTTTTCTGCCGCCTCGATGCGTTTGTAGAAATCGTTGACGCTGCGAATGGCCGACATTTTGAATACAAGTTTGCAAAACAGTTACACAAAATACAGAATCCAATTGGATTGAAACGTCTTTCGTCAGTTTGATAGAACTTTGCGAATGCGCGTTGTGCACCTCTATTTATAGCAGCAATGCACTACAAGCTGGAAGGCTATATAAAAGTTTCCCGCGCTTTCAAGCGGCGAATACACACACAAGCATCTTGATGCATGCATACAAATGCAAGCTCATAAATGAACAAACGGTACTCGTCCAGCATTTGAGCGTTGCCACCTGTCGCTCAGATGAGATTATCGATTGACGATAGACGCACGTGCAGTTCACAATTGCATTTGAAATCGTCGGCTCAACGAAAAACTTAGCTGCCAATTCATTAAGAGACACATGCGAGCTGCTAACTGTTTTCCGTTTTGACTGGAAGTCAAGGCTTCCTTTCTTCCTATTTCATTTCAGCTGTCTAGCTGTCGAGCCGAAAAATTTCCAGAAACTTGTGCGCACACCCAAATTGTTGCAAATATTCGAAATTCATGTTATTCCGTCAACAAACCAAACAGACAACAAAAAAAAAAAAACAAAAATAAATAAAAAATAAACAAATAAATAATATAGAAAAAATTCATTGAAAAAAAAACAATAAAAATTCCAACAAAATAATCGGCACAGCGAAATTTCAATAATGGTGCATGTTATACAAAGCAAAGAGGATTTCGAACAGCAACTGTCCAATGCCGGCGACAAGCTGATCGTCATCGACTTCTGCGCCAATTGGTGCGGACCGTGCAAAATAATTGCACCCAAACTGGAGGAACTGGCCGCCACATATGCCGAGCGTGCCGTTGTGCTAAAGGTGAATGTCGATGAGAACGAGGAGATAACAATTGAGTACAATATAACCAGCATGCCGACATTTGTGTTCATCAAGAGCGGCGAGGTACTGGAGGTGTTTGTCGGCGGCAATTCGGACAAATTGGCCAAATCGATGGAGAAATATGTGAGCGACAGCGATGAGCCGAACGAGGATATGCAACAGCAGCTGAGCACATCCTCGGAGAGCGCTGCCAGCGGCAGCACCATTTGTGATCTTGATGAGGAGGTCGAGGGCGCTCACGAGATGCCCATGCGTGTGCAGAGTGCCCTAGACAAGGAGGGCGTCCTGGAGAACTAAGCTAGCACCAATTGAATAACCTGTATTAACTTAAGTAAACGGAAGAACTCATGCAAACAAAACGAAATGCCAGTACAATCCAAAGCGAAATACAAGAAAACATAATACACTTAGCAATGCCGACCGAATTCCGAACACTGTACAACATAACATTGGAGATCACTTGACTGTCTTAAGGACGCGTACACTACACTACAACGAACTCTTAACAAACACAAGCCCTGAACAAATTGTAAATCACCATTAAACTTGACTTGTTGCCAACTTAAAGCTAAACACGATTTTTTTAACATCATTTCTTTGTATTTTGTATTTATTCTAAGTATAATTTTTAAATTAGGAGCGTTACAAAAAAAAAATTAGATTCGCGTGAGGCACACACAAATCGAGTTTCCTACACTTACATATATATATGCGTATATATATATATAATTGTATATATAGCCCAATATTGAATGGAAAATATGCGCTGTTGTTTACTTTTTGGCAAAAGTAATTTTCATAGCATGCGTGGGCGTTATTTTGAAGCCCTGCAGCGCTTCTTTGGCGGCATTGCTCTGCAGTTCGGTGGTAAACTCGACAAAGGCGATATCGTGACGGTTGGGCACCAGACGCACCTCCTTGAAGCCGGGGAACTGATTGAACAGCATTGAGAGCATCATTTCGTTTGTCTCCTCCGGCAAATTGGTGAGGAATAGAATTTGATTTGGCGGCTGTTCCGTTTGTGTATTGGGATTCGAATTTTCGGTGCTGCTCTGCTTCTTCTTTTTGTCCCTGTTTTAAGTAAAAAAAAAAACAAAACATTTAATATACGGCATCCAATTCGAAAACGCATTACAATTGATACAAACTTTTTCTCCTCAGCACCCGGTGCCGGCTTTGGTGGTTTCACCTTCTTTGGCCGCTCCTTGTACGTGCCCTTCAGTTTGGCCACAATATCCGAATCAGATTTGGAATAGGCAATACGCATGGGCTTGTCATAGAACGGAAAGCCCTGCATGGTGCGCAGGGCATTTGAGGCGCTGCCAATTTCCTTAAAAATGACAAACGCTTGCCCTCGCATTTTCAATGTTTTCAACGCCACAATGTCGAGTATTTGGCCGAACTGTGAGAAAATTGCGTAGAGCGATTTCTTGAGCTCCTCCTTTTTAATTTTCTCATTCAGATTGTTTATGTAGATAGTTTGATTTGGGCGCACATCCATTTTGTTGTTTTATTTAAAGAGCAACCAAATAATTGATGGAAAAAAATGCGTAAAAAAAATGCTCGTTTGGTCGTAGCCGATTAGAGATGTGCAATGCAGCTTTGCATTGACAGTCGCCATGTTTTCGATGTGTATACAATATCGATATAATTTAGGCGATAGTAAATGGTGAATAACGAAATAGGATGTTAAGCGTGAGTGTATAATGCAGTGATTTTGTGTAGTGACAGTGCAACCTGTAGTCGACATACAAATGTTTTGTATCACTTTAGTCATTCTAACACTTAATAATAAATATAAAAGGAATAATCAAATTAAAATTAATTATAATTTTGTAAGAGCGGTAGGTCTTCTTGCGTTAGTGTGATATGTACTCGATAAGTCTTACGATGTCTAGTGCTGTGATTTTATGCGATACTTGCTATCGATATATATGATACCTTTGCTATGCAGCACTGGTGTGTATTGTTTTGCCGGCTGGAACGCACGCTCATTTCAATTTGGTAGCGCTTGCAATTTGTATTTTATGCATAAACGTTCACATGTTGCCCCTTGGAGATGACAAAAAGGATCGCTATGCCAAGCTGTCCTTTCTCGGCGAAGGACAGGTAAGCATTTAATCTTCTATACGCATTGCAATACATTCCCTTCAACCCCTGCCCAGTTTGCCATCGTGTACAAGGCGCGCGACACTGTGACCAGCCAAATTGTGGCCGTCAAGAAGATCAAGAAGGGCAGCCGCGATGAGGCACGCGATGGCATCAATCGCACCGCATTGCGTGAAATTAAGATCCTGCAGGAGCTGCAGCACGAGAACATTATCGGACTGGTCGATGTGTTTGGCCAGCTGTCGAATGTGTCGCTGGTGTTTGATTTTATGGACACCGATCTGGAGGTGATCATCAAGGATAACAAGATTATTCTCACCCAGGCGAACATTAAGGCGTATGCCATAATGACACTGCGCGGCCTAGAATATCTGCACGTCAATTGGATTCTGCATCGCGATCTGAAGCCCAACAATTTGCTTGTCAATAGTGATGGCGTTTTAAAGATCGGCGATTTCGGTCTGGCCAAGAGCTTTGGTTCGCCTAATCGCGTGTACACCCATCATGTGGTGACGCGTTGGTATCGCTCACCCGAGCTACTATTTGGCGCCCGCCAATACGGTACCGGCGTGGACATGTGGGCCGTTGGCTGCATTCTCGCCGAGCTTATGTTGCGTGTACCCTTTCTGCCCGGCGATTCTGATCTGGATCAGCTGACGCGCATCTTTAGCGTTTTGGGCACACCCACAGAGGCCGAGTGGCCGTATCTGAGCAAGCTCCATGACTATCTACAATTTCGTCATTTTGTGGGCACACCGCTTCAGAATATATTCACAGCAGCCGGCAATGATATGATCACGCTGATGCGTCGCCTGTTTGCCATGAATCCGCTCAAGCGCTGCTCGTGCCGCGAAGCGCTCAGCATGCCTTATTTTCATAATAAGCCCGCGCCCACAGTTGGCCCCAAATTGCCCATGCCGTCAGCAATATTGGCCGCCAAAGAGGGCGCCAATGCGGCTGCCGATGAGAAACCGGGCCTCAAGCGCAAACTGGTCGAGACCACGGTGCGCGGCAATGTCCTGCCGCAAAAAAAGAAGTTAATGTTCTAAACAGCTGCCAGTCCACATGCTAATTGCATAGAGAGTTTATTTGACTAGTTACTAAGCGATAGCCACAAATATACTAAATAAAAGGTAAGGGAATTTTTGCTACAATTTATTTTATTTTTTTTATAAAACAGCTTTCAATGCAACATCTAAGCCTCACACATAGTTCATTAAGTGTTAAGTCGTTATTATTGAGTGTGTACTGTACTGTGTAGAAATATGCTTGAAGATCGGGCTGCGCGCGCCTTTTCAAAAACAGCTCTGAAATTGTGTTCGAACTTTGAAAACGGTTCAATTGTTAAACACGCTAACGAACTAGTTCAGACAATGTTCGAAACTGGTTCAATTAATTGAGAGGAGACCTTTAATTCCTTTAATTCTGTTTCAAAACCTGCCTTAAAACATTTTTATATCCGCTTCGAAATACTTTTTGAAAGGTTTTTTTTTTGTGTAACGCCTAGAAAACCTTCCCCAGAAGGATATATATTCCTGGTCTTTTTGTCAGTCAGTATATACGTTAAAGTCGGTTGCATCGAATAACAAAACTAAACCACATGCAATTTATTTTGTTAGAATCTCGAAATCATTTCAAAGTATTGTATGAACACCTTTTTGCTTTTAATTAATACCGTTAACATTACGCAATTTGTAATAAAGGATATATTTTAGGCGAGTCTAAAATTATATATACATACATATATGTTTCTTAATATATTTATCAAAGCCAAAAACTTAATTTTGTGTGCATACTTCTACTTCTACTTCTACTTCTACTTCTACTTCTACTTCTACTTCTACTTCTACTTCTACTTCTACTTCTACTTCTACTTCTACTTCTACTTCTACTTCTACTTCTACTTCTACTTCTACTTCTACTTCTACTTCTACTTCTACTTCTACTTCTACTTCTACTTCTACTTCTACTTCTACTTCTACTTCTACTTCTACTTCTACTTCTACTTCTACTTCTACTTCTACTTCTACTTCTACTTCTACTTCTACTTCTACTTCTACTTCTACTTCTACTTCTACTTCTACTTCTACTTCTACTTCTACTTCTACTTCTACTTCTACTTCTACTTCTACTTCTACTTCTACTTCTACTTCTACTTCTACTTCTACTTCTACTTATACTTATACTTATACTTATACTTATACTTATACTTATACTTATACTTATACTTATACTTATACTTATACTTATACTTATACTTATACTTATACTTATACTTATACTTATACTTATACTTATACTTATACTTATACTTATACTTATACTTATACTTATACTTATACTTATACTTATACTTATACTTATACTTATACTTATACTTATACTTATACTTATACTTATACTTATACTTATACTTATACTTATACTTATACTTATACTTATACTTATACTTATACTTATACTTATACTTATACTTATACTTATACTTATACTTATACTTATACTTATACTTATACTTATACTTATACTTATACTTATACTTATACTTATACTTATACTTATACTTATACTTATACTTATACTTATACTTATACTTATACTTATACTTATACTTATACTTATACTTATACTTATACTTATACTTATACTTATACTTATACTTATACTTATACTTATACTTATACTTATACTTATACTTATACTTATACTTATACTTATACTTATACTTATACTTATACTTATACTTATACTTATACTTATACTTATACTTATACTTATACTTATACTTATACTTATACTTATACTTATACTTATACTTGTACTTGTACTTGTACTTGTACTTGTACTTGTACTTGTACTTGTACTTGTACTTGTACTTGTACTTGTACTTGTACTTGTACTTGTACTTGTACTTGTACTTGTACTTGTACTTGTACTTGTACTTGTACTTGTACTTGTACTTGTACTTGTACTTGTACTTGTACTTGTACTTGTACTTACTTATACTTATACTTATACTTATACTTATACTTATACTTATACTTATACTTATACTTATACTTATACTTATACTTATACTTATACTTATACTTATACTTATACTTATACTTATACTTATACTGTTACTTATACTGTTACTTATACTGTTACTTATACTGTTACTTATACTGTTACTTATACTTATACTTATACTTATACTTATACTTATACTTATACTTATACTTATACTTATACTTATACTTATACTTATACTTATACTTATACTTATACTTATACTTATACTTATACTTATACTTATACTTATACTTATACTTATACTTATACTTATACTTATACTTATACTTATACTTATACTTATACTTATAACGAGTCGAAACGAGTTAAAACGAGTCGTGCATGTTCGTGACGCGGAAGAAAAAATGACGACGACGCGCTCAACATGACTTATTTATATTTAGTGATGGACAGTGCTGGACATATCGCATCCAGGCTGGCCTTGGATTTGTTGTGGTCCTGGGCTGGGATATGGATAAAACTGAGCAGTCACTGAACAAAATTCGTAGCGAACATTTCGGCAACAGTTTTTGGTTACGGTATCGATTGGTACTAAATTGTCAGCAGGAGCAGCAACAGCAGCAGCACCAGGAGGACAGGAGCATGCCGCTGGGCAGAAAGTTGGCCATTGGCTCAGAGGAGGCGCGCCGACAACGCGCCGAGCTGCGCACCAGCTATGGCAATAAGCTCTCCAATATGAATTTGGGGCGAATGCGCAGTCGTTCCAATCCCGTTAACACGGATGCCAATCCCTTTCAATCCGCAGCCATGGCCATGACCGGTAACGCGGCGTGTTCAACATCATCATTGCGACGTATTGCCTCCAGTTTTGCGCACGTCAGCGATTTGGATTGCGGCCGATGTGCGGCACTGCCCCACGAAGATTCCGAGGAGGATGCGCGCGAGGAGCGCGCTGAGGTCCTCATACGCAGCGAGCCATTTAAATCGATTGCCGGAGCGGCCGGAGCGGCGGCAGCAGCAGCAACAACAACGGCGGCAGCGGCCCAATCCTCACGCGCGTCGGCTAGCCAAAATGCCACGGCCAGCGCAGAGCGGCGCAATCATTATCTCTGCGCGGATGTGATGCAATCGCGGGCTAGCGAGCGTTGGGGTCAAATTGCGGGCACCGTCTCGACCCTGTTCCGTGTGCGACGCATCTCTACGGCGAATCCATTGTCGGAGCTGCGACGCTTAAGGGAGCAGCGCGATCTGCTGGAGGCCTTCACGCGTCCATTCCTCTACGAGGACAATGTGCAGCGCAAATAGAATGTGGCGACCAACATGACCAAGCGATGCTGTGACCCCCAATTCCACCAGCCAGCAACAAAAACGACAACAACAACATCAACAACAGCAACAACAACAACAACAATAACAACAACAGTAGGCAAATCAAATATTCATATATATATATATCTAAACCCACAAAGAACAACTCCGCTTGATTCACATTCACATTCATACATACATATATATATATAAATATATTTATTTTTATATATATACATATGTATGCATATACATATATATATTCGTATTCAAATGCAGCTATTCAGTTACAAAATGCTCAAAACTCGCAAATTCTTTCGTTTCGCTTCTTTTCTTCTCATCTTCCATCTCCTTTCTGGCAATTGGGCAGCACAGCTAATTGGTATACCGTTCTCTCTCTCTCTCTTACTCTTCTCTTCCTCTCCCTCTCTGTGTGTTTTGCATATGTTTTGTCTCGTTCTAAAAGCAACGGCATCTGTCGCGCGGGCATTCCGATTTATAATTGAGACACTCGTCCATGCAGTACGTATCCGCACCCTCACGTCCCTCCAGCTCACCAATGGCCACGCACTCCTGACTGTATGCAACAAAGGAGAACGCATGAGTATAATAAGAAGTGAGTGAAATATATATAGAGTGAGGTTATGTTGTACTTACGGACAATGGCATGCGGTCTCGGGACAGTTGGGCGGATAGCGCAAACAGTTGACCTCACACCAGTTATCAATGCCGGGCAGCGAGCGGAAGGGCGGCGCACCAATGCACTTTTGATCCCTGCAAAGTTTACGGATGGAGTGAGAAACGAGGAGGGAGGAAAAAACAGTGATTACAACAAAATATTAGGTCGTATGTGATCAAAAATAGGGGAAAAGGAACTATAACTACATATATCAAAAATTATCTGTACAGCTAAGCTGATTGACAGATTGATTGATGATCAACGAACTTAAGTCACCATTTGGAAAATTTCTTCCGTATAATGGAAAGAAAGTAATCCATTATAACTAGAACTATATCAAAATAGATCTATACATCTAAACAGATTGATTGATTGATGGTCAACGCAGAGCCCAATCCGTAAGATCTTGTCAGCTGAATTTTTCACCTTGTGGAATATTTCACACGTAATAATGGAAAAAGAAAAAATACATTAGAACTATAACTATATGAAAAATAATCTATACTAGATGTATAGCTTGATGTATAGCGGCTTGACTGATTGATATGCTCACTGTCTGATTTATGATCAACGCACAGCAGAAGTCTAGACCTGAATTTTTTAACCATTTGTGGAAGCAAAGTCTTCTACTATTTCAAAATATATTTAGTTAGTTAGTTTTCTTAAGAAGTTTTGGGATCGTGGGATTATAAATCTAGGTGTTACCACAATTTCGGACCTAATTGAGTTTGCGCTTAAACCGATTGCAAATTATAAGCGGAATTGTCTTTAGTATGTTTGCAATCTCTTGTTCCATCCAATTCCGTGCTACTTCTCTTTGAACCCATTCAAAATAGGCTTTAATATATACTTAAATTGGTATGCTATATTTAATCCGTGAAATCTTGATAAGAATCGGACTTGAAACACCGAAAGAAAGCATTTTCTTTAAATAGTCAGGGGCACAGATAAAAAGCAGGCTCAGCTGAGAATTTCAAGCACAATTATTTCAAAATCTGATATGTTTTTTGTGCTTATCTAACCCCTAAGTTTCCAAATTCCATGAATCAGTTCATATATAAGTGATATCTGTGACTGTTGTAGCAGCCATGCCTTTGAAGCGCTATGTGAATGAGTTCAAGAAGCAGGAGGAGCGTCGTCGTCTTTTGGCCGAATTGCGGATTGTTTATGGCAATGCGCTCTCCGACTCAAACCTGAGGCGAACGAGAACAAAATTTCATGCAGGACCTGCTAGCAGTATCTATCCATTTGGCCGGATCAATCCCAATAGCTGTCAGATCTCCAACATTTACAACACCAAGCGGCGGTCAAGGCCCCTGGTGAGGTGCATGCCGAAGATGAATAATAATATGTCAGCTTGGGCTTGTACCGCCGAGGATACGAATAGTATATCCAGACGCTACGAGATGCTGCAGCGTCAGGCCCTTCGACACGCCCGGTTCATGGGGCATCAGAATCAAGATAAACGAACGGAGAGTACAATACATAAAAAAAACAAATTTTATTTGTAAATAAATAGTGATATCCATGGCTCAAAGTATTACAGATCGTTTCGAAAATCCTAATCAATAATAACTTGGATATATATATATATTCAAGAAACATAATAGATCACTCGGATCAGAATCCTTATACCTAATATATATATACTTTTATATTTTATTACGAATTTGAATTCTTAACTGAGCAAGTCTCATCAGATTTGCACGAGGTTTGGCTCTTTGTTCATGGTTTTGACTCTAGATCAAAGTTGCATCTAAATCTGACAACATCATTTTTGGTCAAAATTCATGTCCAAATCTTACCCCAAGTTTCGTATATAGACATGGGTCAAAATTTACCACCCCCATAACTCGGTCAAATCTCATCTGATTTTCACGAAGTTTGGATTTTTCTTCATGGTTTTCTTTCTAGATTAATCTGGCATTCAAATCTGAACACCGATTTTTTAGTCGAAATTCATGTCCAAATCTTACCCCAAGATTCGTATATAGACATGGGTCAAAATGTACCACCCCATATCTCGGCCAAATCTCATCCGATTTTCACGAAGTTTGGCTTCTTCTTCATGGTTTTCCCTCTAGATTAATCTGGCATTAAAATCTGAACACCGATTTTTTAGTCGAAATTCATGTCCAAATCTTACCCCAAGATTCGTATATAGACATGGGTCAAAATTTACCACCCCCATATCTCTGCCAAATCTCATCCGATTTTCACGAAGTTTGGATTTTTCTTCATGGTTTTCCCTCTAGATCAATGTGGCATTCAAATCTCGACACCGATTTTTTAGTCGAAATTCATGTCCAAATCTTACCCCAAAATTCGTATATAGACATGGGTCAAAATTTACCACCCCCATAACTCGGTCAAATCTCATCCGATTTTCACAAAGTTTGGCTTTTTCTTCATGGTTTTCCCTCTAGATTAATGTGGCATTCAAATCTGAACACCGATTTCTTGGTCGAAATTCATGTCCAAATCTTACCCCAAGATTCGTATATAGACATGGGTCAAAATGAACCACCCCCAAGATTCGTATATAGACATGGGTCAAAATTTACCACCCCCATAACTCGGTCAAATCTCATCCGATTTTCACGAAGTTTGGCTTTTTCTTCATGGTTTTCCCTCTAGATTAATGTGGCATACAAATATCGACACCGATTTTTTAGTCGAAATTCATGTCCAAATCTTACCCCAAGATTCGTATATAGACATGGGTCAAAATTTACCACCCCCATATCTCGGCCAAATCTCATCCGATTTTCACGAAGTTTGGATTTTTCTTCATGGCTTTCCCTCTAGATCAATGTGGCATTCAAATCTCGACACCGATTTTTTAGTCGAAATTCATGTCCAAATCTTACCCCAAAATTCGTATATAGACATGGGTCAAAATTTACCACCCCCATAACTCGGTCAAATCTCATCCGATTTTCACAAAGTTTGGCTTTTTCTTCATGGTTTTCCCTCTAGATTAATGTGGCATTCAAATCTGAACACCGATTTCTCGGTCGAAATTCATGTCCAAATCTTACCCCAAGATTCGTATATAGACATGGGTCAAAATGAACCACCCCCATAACTCGGCCAAATCTCATCCGATGTTCATGAAGTTTGGATTTTTCTTCATGGTTTTCCCTCAAGATCAAAGTTGCATCTAAATCTGACAACATCATTTTTGGTCAAAATTCATGTCCAAATCTTACCCCAAGTTTCGTATATAGACATGGGTCAAAATTTACCACCCCCATAACTCGGTCAAATCTCATCTGATTTTCACGAAGTTTCGATTTTTCTTCATGGTTTTCTTTCTAGATTAATCTGGCATTCAAATCTGAACACCGATTTTTTAGTCGAAATTCATGTCCAAATCTTACCCCAAGATTCGTATATAGACATGGGTCAAAATTTACCACCCCCATAACTCGGCCAAATCTCATCCGATTTTCATGAAGTTTGGATTTTTCTTCATGGTTTTCCCTCAAGATCAATGTGGCATTCAAATCTCGACACCGATTTTTTAGTCGAAATTCATGTCCAAATCTTACCCCAAGATTCGTATATAGACATGGGTCAAAATGTACCACCCCCATAACTCGGCCAAATCTCATCCGATTTTCATGAAGTTTGGATTTTTCTTCATGGTTTTCCCTCAAGATCAAAGTTGCATCTAAATCTGACAACATCATTTTTGGTCAAAATTCATGTCCAAATCTTACCCCAAGTTTCGTATATAGACATGGGTCAAAATTTACCACCCCCATAACTCGGTCAAATCTCATCCGATTTTCACGAAGTTTGGCTTTTTCTTCATGGTTTTCCCTCTAGATTAATGTGGCATACAAATCTCGACACCGATTTTTTGGTCGAAATGCATGTCCAAATCTTACCCCAAGATTCGTATATAGACATGGGTCAAAATTTACCACCCCCATAACTCGGTCAAATCTCATCCGATTTTCACGAAGTTTGGCTTTTTCTTCATGGTTTTCCCTCTAGATTAATGTGGCATACAAATATCGACACCGATTTTTTAGTCGAAATTCATGTCCAAATCTTACCCCAAGATTCGTATATAGACATGGGTCAAAATTTACCACCCCCATAACTCGGTCAAATCTCATCCGATTTTCACGAAGTTTGGCTTTTTCTTCATGGTTTTCCCTCTAGATTAATCTGGCATTCAAATCTCGACACCGATTTTTTAGTCGAAATTCATGTCCAAATCTTACCCCAAGATTCGTATATAGACATGGGTCAAAATTTACCACCCCCATAACTCGGTCAAATCTCATCCGATTTTCACGAAGTTTGGCTTTTTCTTCATGGTTTTCCCTCTAGATTAATGTGGCATACAAATCTCGACACCGATTTTTTGGTCGAAATGCATGTCCAAATCTTACCCCAAGATTCGTATATAGACATGGGTCAAAATTTACCACCCCCATAACTCGGTCAAATCTCATCCGATTTTCACGAAGTTTGGATTTTTAATCATGGTTTTCTTTCTAGATTAATCTGGCATTCAAATCTGAACACCGATTTTTTAGTCGAAATGCATGTCCAAATCTTACCCCAGGATTCGTATATAGACATGGGTCAAAATGTACCACCCCCATATCTCGGCCAAATCTCATCCGATTTTCACGAAGTTTGGCTTCTTCTTCATGGTTTTCCCTCTAGATTAATCTGGCATTAAAATCTGAACACCGATTTTTTAGTCGAAATTCATGTCCAAATCTTACCCCAAGTTTCGTATATAGACATGGGTCAAAATTTACCACCCCCATAACTCGGTCAAATCTCATCCGATTTTCACGAAGTTTGGCTTTTTCTTCATGGGTTTCCCTCTAGATTAATGTGGCATTCAAATCTGAACACCGATTTTTTGGTCGAAATTCATGTCCAAATCTTACCCCAAGATTCGTATATAGACATGGGTCAAAATGTACCACCCCCATAACTCGGCCAAATCTCATCCGATTTTCATGAAGTTTGGATTTTTCTTCATGGTTTTCCCTCAAGATCAAAGTTGCATCTAAATCTGACAACATCATTTTTGGTCAAAATTCATGTCCAAATCTTACCCCAAGTTTCGTATATAGACATGGGTCAAAATTTACCACCCCCATAACTCGGTCAAATCTCATCTGATTTTCACGAAG